TCATTGTCCCCCACCCCACCTTTATTTTTTTATTCATGACACCACTATCTGACAAATTTTTACTTAAGTCTCCTTATGTTGGAGTGCAAACACCAGAATAGTAGGAGGTTTTGTCTTTTTGTTCAGACAAAAGGTATCCCTAGTCCCTAAAATAGTATCTTATACATGCTCAGTGAATGTTGGTTGAATGAGTAAACAAATGAGACTATTCAGATCTTTTCCCAGAAGGCTAACAGTTAGTCTTATGTCCCCAGGCAGGAGATTGGAGGATTTCTCTCCGGACAAATGACTGGCCTGAGAAAAGACTTGCAGATTCTGATGTTTGGGGAAGAGTCCCCCATTTAAAAGGTTAGATCTCTATTTATTAACTGTATGTCATATTTAGTAGTCAGCAAGGTCTATTCTCTCTCATAGAATAACCAGATATCCAGGGAAAGCCTCTAAGGCAAAAGACAGGTACAAAGACAAAATGAGAAAAAGAAATAATAATGCATAGAACAAAATAAAATCCTAAAAAAATCTAGTATCTCTTGTCAGAGAGACAAGAGACAATATGACATCTATGAAACAAGAATAGAATGCTCTTTAAAAAAGGGGAGGGGACCTCTTTTCAGAGAACAAGAAATAGCTGTTGGGAATGAAAATATGTATAGAAGATATAAATTCAATAGAAGAGAAAATTTAAGGAATCTTCTAGACAGTCACATGTTCTAGTTTAACATCAAATTTTAGATAGGGGCGCCTGGGTGGCTCAGTGGGTTAAGCCGCTGCCTTCGGCTCAGGTCATGATCTCAGGGTCCTGGGATCGAGTCCCGCATCGGGCTCCCTGCTCAGCAGGGAGTCTGCTTCCCTCTCTCTCTCGGCCTGCTTCTCTGTCTACTTGTGATCTCTCTCTGTCAAATAAATAAATAAAATCTTTAAAAAAAAATTTAGATATATGGGAGATAAAAAGATTCTTAGTAAAAAAAAAATCTCGGGGCACCTGGGTGGCTCAGTGGGTAAAAACCTCTGCCTTTGGTTCAGGTCATGATCTCTGGGTCCTGCGATCGAGCCCCACATCGGGCTTTCTGCTCAGCAAGGAGCCTGCTTCTCCTCTCTCTCTGCCTGCCTCTCTGCCTACTTATGATCTCTGTCTGTCAAATAAATAAATAAAATCTTTTAAAAAAAAATCTCAACAATAGTACCTTTCTTAGATGATGATAGAAAAATCCCTTGAATTTTGAGAAAGAATATTTAGCCTTAAATTATTGTGGCTAGTATCTGGCTACAATATCTTTGTCTCTCTTACTTTGGAACATTTGTCTCTTTTAACATTGTATATAGAGGGGCACCTAGGTGGCTCAGTAGTTCAGTGTCTGCCTTTGGCTCAGGTCATGATCCCAGGATTCTGGAGTTGAGCCTCATGTCGGGCTCCCTGCTCGGCAGACAGCCTGCTTCTCCCTCTCCCACTCCCCCTGCTTGTGTTCCTGCTCTCGCTGTCTCTCTTTCTCTGCCAGGTAAATAAATAAAATCCTTTTAAAAAAATAAAATAGAATAGTATACAGCTGGAATAAAAAAAAATCTCCTCTGAGGATATTTGTTTCAGATCAGCTTCATTTTTTTTGCATGGATTATCCTAGAGAATATTCTAGTGAGTTTAATCTATCCTTGATATATTTGGATTTATTTCTATGATCTTATTTTGTATTTTGTTCCATCTGACCTGGCTTCTTCTCATTCTATTTTTTTTTAAGTTCGTGTACTAGTGTTATAATCTATTGAGTATCAAGTTCATGTGCCATACAACTGACCCATTTAGAGTATACACTTTTTTTTTTAGCCTAGTAACATAGTTCCACAATGAATTTTACAACACGTTCAGCACCCTAGGAAAGAGATCCTCATGCCCATTAGCAGTCAGCCCTCATGTTCCCTCAAACCTCCCAGCCCTAGGAATCCACTAATTTTCTGTTTTCTATCTATAGTTTACCTAATCTTGACATTTACAGTAATGCAATTATATAGTGTATGTGATATTTTGTGATTGGCCCCTTTCACTCAACATAGTATTTTCAAGGTTTGGACATGTTATAGCAGGTTGTAAAACTTCATTCCTTTTATTGACAAATGATATTCCATTGTTTGGATACCAGAGTTAATTTGTCCATTCAGTGGTTGATGGACATTTGAGATTTTTCTCCATTTTAGTTATTACAAACAATGCTGCTGTGAACATTCCTATACATATTTTAAGGTGGACATTTGTTTTCATTTCCCTTGGGTATACCTAAGAGTGAAATTTCTGAATCACATGGTATTTCTCAGTGTTTAATCTTTTGAGGAACTGACAAACTAGTTTCCAAAGCAGCTGCTCCATTTTATATTCTCATCAGCAATATATGTGGGTTCCAATTTTCCATATCCTCAGCAACACTTGTCTTTATTGATCTTTTTGTTTATAGCCATCCTGGTTGTGTAAAGTAGTTCTTCATTGTGGTTTTGATTTGCATTTCTCTAGTAACTAATGATGCTGAGTATTTTTTTATGGGCTTGTTGGCCATTTGTAGCTGTTCTCTGGAGAAATGTGTATTCTAATTGTTTGCTCATTAAAAAAAAATAGGTCATTTGTCTTTATACTGAGTTGTGAGTTCTTTATACACTCTAGATACAAGCTCCTTATCAGATCTATGATTTGCAAGTGTTTCCTTCCACCCTTGGAATCATGCCTATAAATTACTTGGCAGAATGATTCACTGTTGTGGCACGGTAAATGTTAAGGTACTATTACTGTGATGATGTCCTAGGTCCAGACATCAAAAATTCATCCATAGATCCTTAGAATCCATTATGATGTGTTTGACATGTTATGTGTGGTTGTTATACTCAAATTAGTATATGCATAGGTGGGTTTGTGAGTGACTGATGAATCCGTAGAATTAAGAATTCTACTTTTAGCTTTCCAGTAGGAACTCAAGTGCAACCAGCAAACCAGAAAAAATTTGTCTAGGTTGAAATTGCAGTTTACTGTATAAGCACTTTTTCTATCAGAAGATAGGATTTTACCCATTTACTGAGCAACTGCTAAATGCCAGATGTATTAGTAAAAGGCGAAAGATTTATGCGATATGAAGAGAAACCAGATTGTGAAATGCCAGATGTATTAGAATCCTTTAATTATTTGGGGCACCTGGGTAGCTCAGTTGGTTAAGGCTACGACTCTTGGTTTCAGCTCAGGTCATGAGATCAGACCCACTGCCAAGCCCCCCACAGAGAGTGGAGCCTGCTTAAGATTCTCTCCCTGTCCCTCTCCCATCTACCCTCTTCCCACATACATGTGCTCTCTCTCTCTCAAAAAAAAAAAAAAAAGAAAGAAAAGAAAAAGAAAAAACATACTTTATTCACTTGCTATAATCCAAGGCAGAAAGAATTTAAATAATTTGAATTTGCCCAAATCCATACTGTAACTGTTAGGGATTTATAGGGAATTATAGGGAAATGGTAGGAACTGTGAGGAATTTGAACTCTTCTCTCATTCCAAATCATTTACCTTTGTATTCTTAGCACCTCTCTTTCAACTTGGGGAACTTTAAAAATTATTGGTGCCTATGCCACACTTCAAGCCATTTAAAGCAATTTCTAGAAGTGAAACCTAAGCATCAGTATTTTTAAAAGCTCCTTAGGTGATTATTGTTACATGGATTGAGAACTATTGATCTGTTCAATGCCAGAAGAGAATAGGTTACTGTTCAATAAATATTTGGCTGTTGAAAGAATACCTAATGGTGCAGTTGCTTCATTGTAATTCCCATATTATAATCAACCTAGAGTGCTTTTGTATTAACTTAAGTCTTTAAAAGGGGTTCTGTATTATACTTCATGTATATTTTCCATTTGCCCCCACGGCATATATAGGAAGATATCTGGCAGGAGGTAACGTTTTGTTGCTGACAGAATTCTGAATTCTCTCCATTACTAAGGAGAATAGATATGGAAATAAGGTAAGTGTCAGGGTTCCTTTCTTGTATTGCATCCAAGTTTGAAGACAGAGGTTGTAAACAGACATATACTGGTTATTTTTGTTTTAGAGTAATTTTTAAAAAATAATTCATGGTTCAAAAATCAAAAGATAGAAAGGGATGTACATTGGAAATTGTCCCTTCCATCTCCCAATCATAGTTCCCCTTCCAGGATATATCAAATGTTATATTATTATTCTTCCAGAGATATTCTAACCATATATAAACAATTATATTTACACATACTTCCCATTTTTACCCAAATAGTAGTATGGTGCATTGTTTGTTTGTTTACTTAACGGTGTGTCTTATCCATATACAAAGAATATTATCAGCATATAATTTCTTCCACCATTTTGTAACTAAATATTATTTCTCTGTGTACCACAACTTATTTTCATCTATTACCTGTTGCTGGATATTTAAGTTGTTTCTAATCTTTCTCTATTACAAACAATGCTACATTAAATAGATAAGCCATTTCCTTTCTGCATGAGCATATCTTTGGATAAATTCCTAGAAGGTCAAGGCATTGCCAGTTTGCCTTTTATGAAGCTTGTATATTGATGAGTTGGAAATAATGAAAAAGCATGAAATAATGTGGGAGATTAAAAGTATAAAGAAGGAATAGTGAACAAAAATGATATCAGGAATGATATTAAAATGTCTTGAGAGGATAGGAATGAGCCGATAGCCAAGAACAAGAAGAGAGAACTAGCAGGTTCTGTGGTGTATATACATGGGATATATTTGTGATTAAAATAGACTAATGAATTTTCTAAAATCCTGACATTTTTACTCTTACATCTTGAACTTTTAAAAACACATCTTTACGTGATGGTTTCTGTATGAAAACTCCTCACTCTTAAAGAGAAAATACCCTTGCAATTTTCATTTCATATTTACATTTAGCATTTGTTGATCAAGACTTTATCTTTTCATGCGTAACTATTTTTTACTTGAACTCTCTTTCTCTCTCTCTCTCTCTCTTTTTTTTTTCCTTAGCCCTGGAAGAAAGCGAGACTTCTCCCCCGTTTCTTGGAGTCAGTACTTTGAGTCCATGGAAGATGTAGAAGTAGAGAATGAAACTGGCAAGGATATATCCTTTGCAAAATGGCTTATTCTTTAGCAAGCTTATAATGCTGTCTAAGAAGACACATTTAGTTTCTAAAGCGTTCTTTAGTCCTGCTGTTTATTTCATTTTTATTCCCCACCTGTAATTGTACAGCATGGAATTTAACCTGTAAGTCTATGCCAGTATCATACTTAGACATAAGTGTCTAATGAATGCATGGGGAAAGGATTAAGAATTAAGTGTCTGAGACTGAAATATATCTTAAGGGCCCGGGGAAGGTTTCATGAATCAGATGAGTTGAATCAGTTTAGCATCTAGAAACCAGGGACTGTAGGTCTTTGTTAGGGCAAAGGGATTTTTTTTTTTTTTTCCTCATTGAAAAAGTGGTCATACTGGCTCCATGCTTCAAAACAGGTTTGGTGTTTCAACTTCTATTTAAGTATCTCTTAAGTTTGGAAGTCTGCAGCTTTATATAGAGTCTGGTACTGCCTGAGTTTTCTAATCAGTATTATTACGATTAAATAATCAAAAACTTCAGTGAGCAAAAGCTTAGATATGTTATCTTTAACTATTCATACACTTTCCGAGTTTATAAGAGTGGCTCAGAGGGTCCCGTCCTACTCCTTCTGCATGGAGGAGGCCATTCTGCCCTATCCTGGGCTGTGTTCACGGTAAGTAAGTAGCTGATAAAAGAAGTTGATGTTAGCACAATCATTGTTTACTTCTGGCTGAATTTGACTAACCTAACTCTTCCTTCTGTGTTCACTTGTATAGCTTGATATAAGAAAGTTAGGGGTGTGAATTGATTGTGAATATTTTTCATGGTAGGCCCAAGATCACCTGTTCTTTACTAGGGTAAGCTTTAATCCATGAATTCTTCAAACATTTTTTAAAATGTTCTATATATATTGCATTGGGATGAGGGAGATGGGATTTGCTCCTGATCAAATGTGGGGGTCTGTATCTAAGTAATCTAAGTAATAGGTAAGCAGAAATATTCTATTCAGGTGCTTTAGGTAGAGATAGTATCTATCCTTTATTTCCCTCATAGACCCTAGTAAAGTACTTTATACATGGAGATGCTCCATAAATATTTGGAAAGTTTTTTTTCTTTTTTAAAATAATGCTTTATGTATATATGTGTATCTATTTTTTTAAGATTTTATTTATTTGACAGAGAGAGATACAGCAAGAGAGGTAACACAAGCAGAAGGAGTGAGAGAGGAAGAAGCAGGCTTCCTGCCAAGCAGGGGGCCCAATGCAGGGCTTGATCCCAGGGTCCTGGGATCATGAGCTGAGGTGAAGAGAGACGCTTAATGACTGAGCCACCCAAGTGCCCCAATAATGCTTTATATTTTAATGATATTAAAATAGTCATTAAAGCTACTGGGAAGTAAACAATATTTGGTTGATGATACCCTTGTCTAGAATAGAGGATGTATGTCTCTGTGAATGCTACCAGTTCTAGATCTTCCTGATTTTCTTGACTCTGTACAAGGAGAGGTGCTGCTAAGGAACATAGTAGCATTATTCCTATTTTTCTTCTGGTTTCTATCAGGGAGATGTACATACTTCCTCTATTTACCAGTAGGGAGTCTAAGGGACAGAAAAATGGGAGCAAGTGGGAATGCAGTACTGGGTAACTAGAGCTAGATGGCTATGGAATTGAGGAGGGCCCTGAATATACCGTTATGTTCCTGGCAGCAGGATTATTGGGAATAGTTCTTAACACATAAGCACTTAATCATCTGTTATTAAATTATTAAATGATTTGATTCCTATCTTGTTTGCTACTTCCTTTCTCTTATTTTAGGACATAGCTGTTTGATTTGGCTCTAAGTGCCAGGCTCTTTAATCTCCCTACACCTGTGTCATCAGAAATATAACGCAAACCATATATGTAAATTTTTGCAGCGTATGTGATTTTTAAATTTAGTAGAGACATAAAATAGGTTTAAAAAAAAGTGAAATTGTTTTTAATAGTATATATCTTATTTAACCTATTGTACCTGTGGTATTATCAATTTAATAAGTAATCAGTATAAAAATTACTACTGAGATATTTTACCTTATTTTTTATACTGTCTTTGAAATTCAGTAAGGCATTAAGGCACTTATGTCTCATTTTGGACTAGCCACATTTCACATTTTAGAAGCATTGCTTTGATAATTTACATTCCTCAACTAGGTAACTAGACTGTGAGGTGAAGACCATGGCTTAGTTATGCCTGGCACTTAATTGTATGCTCAAGGAATGTTTCTTGAATGAATGAGTAATAGCATCACATGCCTGTTCCCAATGTAGGAGCTAGAGTAGTAACTGTATTCCAGTTCCCCTGAACCAATAGAAGAAGACATGTAAGCCCTTACTTTCTTCTTATACTTCAAGATTTCTTTGAAATTATGTAAAATAGTGGAATATGAAAACTGTAAATTTTAAAGTCAGGTACAAATATTATAATAAGTGATGTGTTAACATATATTGATATTAAATATATTTTTTTTCATAGAAAGATGAAATAACATGGAAAGGGACTGGCATAGAGGAGGTGATTGATAAATAGCTGCTGACATTATATGTGTTAGTGCAGAGGAACTCTCTAGTTCTTTTTTTACCAAAGTATAGTCTACAAATTACAAGTTCCATGAGATATTAATGAAATAAGGTTTTTATGATTAAATGAGTTTAAGAAATATAACATATAATATCTTCCTCTGATTTCTGTCAGAATTTCACTATATATCAGTATGTTATTAAGGTCTTTAGGATGTTCTTCTAAATAAATCTATTTCATTTCACCTGAGTCTTCCAAATGTATTTGACCACCCAATTCCTTTTTTTCTAAAACATCTATTAGCATCCCCTTCTTTGTGAAAGTCTTTTATAGATATGTCATTATGTCTCAGTTGTTACCTGGTTTACTTGTATAATCAAGGAAATTCCTTACCGCTGAGCTTAATATTAATAGCTTGGACTTTTGCTGGTTAAATTTACCTGCCCTTTTTTGTTGTTATTCCTGACATTATACCAGCCAACTAAATGAGTTTATATGTGACAGTGCTTTGGAAATAAAAATGGCTATGTAAAAATGAGTGCTCTGGCAATTGACTTGACTCCAGAGCTCGTATTTTTGTAAACACTAGAACATGATTGAGAAGGCAGCCATGGCAAACAGAAGGAATAAGCCCAAGCACCTTATGATCCTGAGAGGCAGAATTACTCTCAGACATCCACCCACATGTTAACTGGTAAAATACTATAGTAAAATAGAAACAAAAAGGTACTAGCGTAGCAGGAGGACAAGTATACTGATAGCAAAAGGAAGAGATGAACAACTGTGGTTGATACTTATGTTGCTACATCATGAGATCCCTGACAGCAGAAACTGTGCTTATGCACTCTTAATATGACAACACACCTGGCCTGTCCTGGAGTTGGTGCTCAATAGTTATTCCTTGAAGAAGTTAAAACTGACCTTGAACAATTAAGAAAAGGATAAATTTTATTCATTGTATCCTATTTGAGAAAGTAAATCATTCTAAAGTCTTGATCAAATGTCAGTAAGTCATTTACATATGGCTGATACCAAAAGATAGAACATGGTTAGAAAAATCCCAGACACAGGATATGCAAGACCAAAGGACATGAAGACACAGTTCATGGAGAACATATAGACATGAGAAAGTTCATCCTCACTAGTAATCAGATATGATTCACATAGGAGGTATCATTTTTTTAGATATCAAATTAATATTTTCTAAAAACTATTCTTAGTGTTGGCAAAGGCATTAGAAAACAAATATTTTCAAACATTGGGACTAGAAATCACATCTTCCAGCTCCTACTTCACTGTTCTTTCTTTAGTGTCAGAGCTCTCTTGGGAAGTAATTTAGCTTTGAATTATCAATATTTATACCATTTGATATAGATGTTGTACTTCTAGGAATCTGTTCTAAGGAAATAATACCAAATATGTGAAAAGCTATTTGTCTAAAATTAGCAATCCCAATGTCCAACTGGACAACCTAAAAGAAGTGGTTAAATTCCTAGAAACATACAATCTTCCAAAACTGAAACAGGGGGAAATAGAAAATCCAAATAAACTAATCACAAGAAACAAATTTGAATCAGTAATCAAAAAACTACCAAAAAAAAAAAAAAAAAAGGGGCGGCTGCGGGGTACGCCTGGGTGGCTCAGTCATTAAGCGTCTGCCTTCAGCTCAGGTCAAGATCCCAGGGTGCTGGGATGGAGCCCTGCATCAGGCTCCCTGCTCAGTGGGAAGCCTGCTTCTCCCTCTCCCACTCCCCCTGCTTGTGTTCCCTCTCTCGCTGTGTCTCTCTCTGTCAAATAAATAAATAAAATCTTAAAAAAAAACAACAGGGTGACTGGATGGTTCAGTCACTTGAGCATCTGACTCTTGGTTTCCGCTCAGGTCATGATCTCATGGATCATGAGATCAAGCCCCACAATGGGCTTCACTCTCAGTGGGGAAACTGCTTGAAGATTCTCTCCCTCTTCCCCTCCCTGTGCACACACTCGCTCTCTCCCTTTCTCTCATTAAAATGAATAAATCTTGGCGAGGGAAACAAAAGCAAAAATGAACTATTGGGACTTCATCAAGATAAAAAGCTTTTGTACAGCAAAGGAAGCAGTCAACACAACTAAAAAGCCTACAGAATGGGAAAAGATACTTGCAAATGATATATCAGATTAGGGCCTGGTATCCAAAATCTTTAAAGAACTCATCAAAATCAACACCCCAAAAACAAAAAATTTAGTCAAGAAATGAACAGAAGATAGGAACTTCTCCAAAGAAGACATACAAATGACTAACAGACACATGAAAAAGTGCTCAGCATCATTGAGCATCTGGGAAATACAAATCAGAACTACAATGAGAGTCACTAAGATTAACAACTCAGGAAACAACAGATGTGGAGGATGCAGAGAAAGGGGAACCCTCTCTTGAGTGACTGGTGTAGCCACTCTGGAAAACAGGATGGAGGTTTCTCAAGACATTAAAAAATAGAGCTACACCATAGCAATTGCACTACTAGGTCTTAATCCAAAGGATACAAACAGTGATTCAAAGGGGCACATGCACCCCAATTTTAATAGCAGCAGTGTACACAATAGCCAAACTATTGAAAGAACCCAGATGTATTGATAAAGAACCCAGATGAATTGATAAAGAAGATGCGTGTGTGCGTACACACACGCGCGCGCGCGCGCGCGCGCGCGCACACACACACACACACACACACACAGGAATATTACTCAGCCAGCAAAAAGAATGAAATCTTGCTTTGTAAGTCTGTTTCTAATTCTATTACTCTAATGAATATATTTAAAGAGAATAATTATTATGGACATGCTCTAACACTTTTTCGTTATTTATAGAACATGTTACGCTCTGAATTTACTTTGTTCTTTCATTGTTTTCTAATCTTTATTTGCCACACTAGGATATAAACATTATGAGAGCAGGGACATTGCCCATCTTTTTCATACTGTAACCACATGATTAATAGGTGCCAGATTTTTAAAAGATGTAGTATAGAAAGATTTATTAAATAAGTGAATGGAAAATCTGTTTTTAGCATTATTGTCTTGTTTAATGACAGGCAGATCATAAATTACTGCTTTCAAGATAAAGTTGGGATTGACAATTACTCCTTTCAAAAAACTCAGTTTTTAAAATGTAGAATAATAAAGCAAATTTGACAATATCTTTGCCACTTAATTTTTTAAAAGATTTTTTATTTTATTTATTAGAGCGTGAGCAGGGGGATGGGCAGAGGCAGAGGGACAAGCAAACTTCCCGCTGAGCAGGGAGCCCAGTGTGGGGCTCGATCCCAGGACCCTGAGATCATGACCTGAGCCGAAGGCAGACTCTTTACAGACTGAACCACACAGGTGCACTTAATTGTATTTCCAGAGTATAGATTTGTTTTTGGCATTGAAGGCTCTACCACCATCGTAATGTGTTAAATAACCCTTGTAAATTAGCTTTCAGGAACAAATAGCAAAGTGTAGTAGAATTTCAGTCTGCTATTCTCTTTAAAGGTATTCAGTGGAGTAATAGAAATAGAAAAGACTTGCTTTTCTAGGTGATTCCTAAAATTTTTATTTACTTATTTTAAGTAATTTCTGCCCACTGTGGGGTTTGAACTCACAATCCCAAGATCAAGAGTTGCATGTTCCTCCAACTGAGCCAACCAGGTGCACCTCTAGCTGATTTTTAAAATGTGATTTAATACACTGACACTGAACTATTGGAAAAATATATAAAACAATCCCATCTACAATAGCAAATAAATAAAACACTTAGGAATAAATTTAAGCAAAGAGGTGAAAGATCTGTACAATGAAAATTATAAGACAATGATGAAAGAAATTGAAAAAGACACAAATAGAAAGGTACCCCATGTTCATGGATCAGAAGAATTAATATTAAAATGTTCATACTACCCAAAGCCATCTGCAGATTCAATGCATTACCTGTCAAAATCCCAAAGACATTTTCCACAGAAATAGAAGAAAAATTCCTAAAAGTTGTGTGGAACAGGAAAAAATACTGAATAGCCAAAACAATCCTTAGAAAGAAGAGGCCAGGCATCACAATTCCTGATGTCATATTTGCATCCAAAGCTATAGTAATCAAAACAGTATGGTACTGGCTTAAAAATAGACACATAGGCCAATGGGACAGAACCAAGACCTCAGGAATAAAGCCATGCATACATGATTAACTAGTATTTGACAGGGGAGCCAAGAAGACTCAATGGTGGAAGGATAGTCTCTTCGATAAATGGTATTGGGAAAGCTGGATAACCACATGCAGAATAAAATTGGACTCCTATCTTACATCACTCACAAAAATTTAACTTGAAATGGATTAAACATTTAAATATAAGACCTGAACCTATAAAACTACTAAAAGAAAACATGGGGAGACAGCCCTTTGACGTTGGTCTTGGCAATGATTTTTTGGGTATGACACCAAAAGCACAAGCAACAAAGGCAAAAAGGAACAAGTGGGAGTACCTCAAACACAAAGCTTCCACATAGCCAAAAGGAAAAAAAAACAACCCAAACCTATCACCAAAATGAAAAGGCAACCTATAGAATGCGAGAAAATATTTGCAAACCATCTATCTGATAAGTGGTTAATATCCAAAATATGTAAGGAATTCATACAACTCAATAAGAACAAAAAAATCCAATTAAAAATGGACAATAGAGGCCCTTGGTGGCTCAGTCAATTAAGCGTCTGCCCTCAGCTCAGGTCATGATCCCAGGGTCCTGGGATCGAGCCCCACATTGGGCTCCTTGCTCAGCAGGAAGCCTGCTGCTCCCCCTCCCTCTGCCTGCCTGCCACTTCCCCTGCTTGTGCTCTGTCTCTCACTCTCTCTCTCTCTGTCAAATAAATAAAATCTTTAAAAAAATAAGTAAAAATGGACAATAGACTTGAATAGGCATTTTTCCAAAGAAGACATATAAATGGCCAACAGGTACATGAAAAGATATTCAGCATCACTAATCAGGAAAATGCAAATCAAAACCACACTGAGTTATCACCTCTCAACTGTTGGAATGGCTGTTATCAAAAAGACAGGAGACAAGCATTGGTAAGGCTGTAGACAAAACGTAACCCTTGTGCACTGTTGGTGGGAATATAAATTGATTGCTGTGGCAAGTATTTCCAGTACTCTATTGAACAAAAGTGACAAGAGTGAGCATCTTTGTCTTGTTCCTGGTCTTAGAGGAAAAGCTCTCAGTTTTTTACCATTGAGTGTGATGTTAGCTGTAGGTTTTTGTATTTGGGCTTTATTATTATATTGAGGTATGTTCCTTCTAAGCCTACTCTCCTGAGAGTGTTTGTCATGAATGGATGTTGAATTTTGTCAAGTGCTTTTTCTTCATCTATTGTACATTCTTGGTGGGAATGTAAATTCGTATATCTGCCATGGAAAACAGTATGGAAGTTCCTCAAAAAATTAAGAGTAGAAATATCATATATCCAATAATATCTCTACTGGGTATTTACCCAAAGAAAATGAAAACACTAATTTGAAAAGATATGTGCACCTTTATGTTTATTGTAGCATTATTTACAATAGCCAATATATAGAAGCAACCTAAGTGTCTATCACTAGACAAATGAATAAGGAAGATGTGATATGTACACGTAATGGAATATTACACTACCTTAAAAAAGAATAAGATCATGCCATTTATGACAACATGGTTAGACCTAGAGGATTTTATGCTAAGGGAAATAAATGAGACTGAGAAAAACAAATACCGAATGATTCCATTCATATGTGGAATCTAAAAAAACAAGAAATAGAATCAGAGCTATAAATATGGAGAACAAACTGATGGTTGCTAGAGGGTTGGGAATGGAGAAATGGACAAAATGGGTGAAGGGGAGCGGGAGATACAGGCTTCCAGTTATGGAATGAATAAGTCACAGGAATAAAAGGCTCAGCGTATTTTTGGTGATAATGTAATAGTGTTGTATGTGGTGAGCATAAAATAATGTATAAGCTTGTCAAATCACTGTGTTATACACGTGAAACTAATGTAACAGTATATGTCAGCTGTACCCAAATAAGAAAAAAAAAGTGAAATGTCTTTCTTTGATTATTCTGAGATTCTTGAATTCTGATGGCAGTTCATTCAACAAAGTTATCATTAGTGATGGGGAAAGATTTGCTAACTCAGATTTTCCTTATCTTCCTAGGCGGCGATCATTAGTAGAGTTCAGTGTAGGATTGTGGCTTTAGATCTGCGAGGTCATGGTGAGTGATGTTCTTAATTAGTCACTGACTCAATGATATATTTGCCAATTCCTTTGAATAGTGTTAAGTATTACAAATTTCAGTGTGACCACAAAATAACCTGACCTGTTCCATTTGGGCTCTTTGAGCAAAGTCTTAGTTTAAAAGATATTTTATAAATACACATATATATGTTGTTTAGCTAAAAAAAAAAAAAAATGTCCTTTAATGTAACCAAATTCTGATGCTGGTGATGTATAAGGAATGTGGATAAATCTTTGCTAGGCTGCCTGAATTATATCTTCCTTAGGATGGCCAACTATAGAGATACATCTGTAACAGAAAACCCTTGCTAAGCCCATCATACACAATAATAAAATCTGCATTTCATTCCCCAAAGTGAGGTTTTTGAAAGCGAATACTTTTGCTTTTATAATTCCTATCATTGGGAATTTTATTTTTTAAATATTTTCTTTTTAGGTGAAACAAAAGTCAAGAATTCTGAAGACCTGTCTGCAGAAACAATGGCAAAGTAAGTAATGTAATATTGTTTATACATCACCTGGCTTCCATTACTATTATAAATAGTGTATAACTATTACTCTCCTGGTGAGATTGTTGGACAATAATTAGCATAGAGAAAATTTTACTTCTGTTGTCTTTCCTCTGTATTTAGTGTCTCCTTAGTATTTAATCTTGAAAGAAACATCTATCTTTCTTTATACATTCAGTGTTCTAGTCATCAAATAAAGCACTTGAAAATTCTTTGAGTTTGTGTTGCCTTTTACAAAGTTTTCTTCTATTAACAGAGTTGAATAGAATCTGGATATCTATTGGGAACTTATGCTTGAAAAGTTGTTATATATAAAAGGCCCTACCCTGTAAGATGTTCTTAAGGTAACCTGCCCACCTTCTTTGTCCAACTTCCTAGTAAGACAAGAACAAGGTATTGAAGAATAAATAATTACCTGGGCCTCAAAGTACAGGATGGTGGTAGTATATACAATGGCCTCACACCTGGTCACTCATTAGAATCACTGAAGAAGTGATTAAAATACAGGTGGTTGGCCTTATCCCAGACCTGCTGAATTAGTGCTTCTACCAGGGGGATCTGAACATTTATTTATATTTTTGATAAAGCTATATAAAGAAATCTTATGCAGCCAGTCCTGTGACTGGTGTTTGGGAACAACTAACCTATATTTTAAACAGGATTTTTCTAACCACCCTGCTATAATACACGGTCTTTGAAGTGTTTCACCAACTTTGGCCAAAAATATCTTGTCTCTTCTTACTTCAGCAGCTTTAATCCAAGAGTAAACCATGTTTCCTTCAGAACTCAAACTCATGTGGCCATAGGTTTATTGTTATAGTTCGTGCTCTTTGTGTGCTTTCTGTCTGCCAGGCTTTATTAAGTGTAAATTATGCATTTATTAAGAAAAATATTTAGGGACGCCTGGGTGTCACATTTGTTGAAGCATCCGACTCTTGGTTTTGGCTCAGGTTGTGATCTGAAGAGTCGTGAGATTGAATACTATGTCAGGTTCCACACTTAGTAGGGAGTCTACTTGAGATTCTCTTCCTCCCTGCTGCACTCTCGGTCTAAAATAAATAAATCTTTTTTTAAAAAGAATAAATAATTTATTTAAAGTGCTTATTTTAATTATCCATATTATTAATTCTGTAGTGCAGATGTTATCTTTTTTTTTTTTTTAAACCAATGAGGAAACTTAGATAGATTGACTGACTGTATGAGGTCACACAGTTAGGAGAGCAGAATTGTGATTATTCAACTACAGTGCTTGGCAGAGAGAGAGAGAGAAATAACACTGTATGACACCATTCCATTCGGTGAACATATTTCTGAGAAACCATGAAAAGGGAGCTAAGAATCTATTCACTGAGTTGTTCATACTATCCTTTGTAATGTGAGAACAGTAAAGCCCAAAATGATCAGGTGTTTGGTGATACCTATAGAAAGATTTGTGAATAATTTTTAAGGATTTGAAGGGTTTCCTGATTGTTGACAAAAAGTGAAATACATCATCTAAGGGCCAGGCTGCCAAAGAGTTATGACAGCTTGAATGACATTCTCCAGGAATTTGAAGAATTAATTGAGGATCTTAAGTATACATTGCCTAATAGTGTATCAGTCTGGGACAAGCAGGGAAAAAGAAAACACATAGAAATTTGAACAGGGCAAGTTTAATATAAAGATTTATTAAATATTTAATATAAAGATTTATTAAATTTGAACAGGGCAAGTTTAATATAAAGATTTATTAAACATAAATATAAAGATTTATTAAGTTATAAATAAATATAAATATAATTTATTAAATAAATAAATATATTTATTAAATATGTTAAATAAATATTTAATAAATATATTAGATTTATTAATAATTAAATTTATTAAAAACAAGCACTTCATTACTTCATTGGAGTAATGAAGAATTGCTAGTGAGGAGTAGAACATTAAAGAATATATATTTAATTAACTTGATTGTGGGGGTCATTTCACGTATCCATATACCCAATCATCATATTATACACTTTAAATATATTATAATTTTATTTATCAGTTATACCTCAATAAAGGTAGAAAATTTTTCAAAAAAGAAAGAAAGAATATAGGAATAGCAGGTGTAAGTAGCTGCCACAATCCCCTTGGGCAGAGGTGGAACACCAATGGAAGAGGTTGAGATTTAGACCTTGCTGTAGAGGGCATGACTGTGGTTTACTGAAGGCAGAGAAGTCATTTGGATGCCATGTTGGCACACCTTCACCAGATACCTGCGCTCTAGGGTACAGGGAAAACTGTTGACAGAGAGGTGTCTCACTAGAGGCACTCTGCGACAAAAATATTGAGGGTGGTTCCAGAGATCTGCTGCTATATAACATAGTGCCTGTACTTAACAATGAGTTAAAAGTTTGTTAGGAGGGTAGATCTCATGTTACACCCACACTCACAAAAAGAAACTTTTGGAAGTGATGGTAAGACAAGCGTATACATTAATTATTTACTATTTTTTGTATACCAATTTTATCTCAATAAGGCTAGGGAAAAAATTGGGTATGGGGGAGATGATATGCTGGAGAAGCCACCTGTGCTGCAGGATTTGGGCACTAGGGAAGCTGTGTGCTGGAGGGCTTCCCATGCTGCAGGTCCTGGGTGCTAGAGGCACACCAGCTTCAGGAGCTTGTGGAGTAATGCACTTAAACCAGCTGCAAAACCTTCTCTTTCTCTAATGTCTCTCTTGTGCCCTCTACTGATAAAGCTTAGCATCATGCCCGCCGGAAAGGAGAAAATATTTAAAGGCCTCAGACCCAGTTTTGGAGAACATACAATGAAGGATTTGAGAATTAGAGCTGAGAGACAATAAGTTGAAAACTTCTAACAAAAGTTAAAAAGAAAATAGATAATTAAGACTATCTAGAATGATGAAGATGATTACCAAGAATCAGAAGAGCCAATAATTTGGATTCTTGTGAAATAGTCAAAGCAATAAAACATTTATATGATTTCTGAGTTCAGTCACTCTGAAGCAAAAATCTCAAAATAGCATATTTAATGGACGATTAATGGGATTTTCAAGTAGTACTGACAGCACAATTGTTGCCTTGTGTATCAACTTTAGAACCTCAACCCTACATAAAATGCAATTCCACTGAAAGTAGAAGAAACAAGATTTGAGCTCAGATTGCTCTGATACTCTTTTTCTGTTATGTCTGTGATATGCTATATTGCTTCTCAGGAAATGAACCCAGTATTAATATGCATGATAGAATCTCCTTACAAAGCCTCCGCCCAAACTGTGATGTATCCAGTTACAGGCTAGTTTTCTAGATAACACCTGCTACTTCCTCTTTGTTTTATTTTTCTGTAACTTCAGAACATGTCTCAAGGCACTAATCTTGGTAGTTTGGCTAATCTTAATAAGAACAAATTTCTCCTGGTGGTAAATGATCAAGTGATTGATCATAACAACTTTTTACCCATAAGGAATATACCTTTCCTAAGCTTAGATACATTTTGGAGTTCATTTGTTTCAGACCCTCTCCACCTTCAGGCACACATGAAGCAGATATCACAGAACCAGTCCAACTTAGTTACTTAGTGTTTTATGGAGACCTGTATTTAGATAACCTTCTGTAGATTGATAAACCTTTACTTTATTATACTGTTAGTAACCAAAACTTTTAGCTTTAAGTTTAACTCCAAAGGAATATTAAACTGTTACTTTTTTCACTTAAAAAATTAGGTGGGGGGCGCCTGGGTGGCTCAGTGGGTTAAAGCCTCTGCCTTCAGCTCAGGTCATGATCCCAGGGTCCTGGGATCGAGCCCCGCATCTGCTCCGCAGAGAGCCTGCTTCCTCCTCTCTCTCTCTGCCTGCCTCTCTGCCTACTTGTGATCTCTGTCTGTCAAATAAATAAAATCTTAAAAAAAAAAAAAAATTAGGTGGGCCTCCTTATCTCCCATTCAGATTGTCTGCAGATGCTACAGCTACCCCATTCATATCTGTATTTGTTTTATGAGATTTTTAAGATTAATTCCTTCTGAAATAAGTAATTAATAATTTTAAGATTAATTCCTTCTGAAAACATTTTTCTTTGCCACTCTGAATGCTCTGGAGATCAAATTCAAAAGGCTGTGTTCCTACATCCACAACTGCTATATTTGGATAACACTGTGTGGATGCTTGAGGTATATAATAACATACAGCAAGACAAAACTGTTTTTTTTTAAGTTAACTGACTCAGCCACTCCCAAAAGAAGACAGTGGAGCCAGTAGTCTCTAAAAACACACCACATCTACCTATTGCTGTAGTGAAAAGGGCCTCTAGACAAATCAAACCCAAGTTCCTACTTCACTTCTCATTTTCAGAACTTTAAGGTTTGACTTTGTTAAATAGATCCACTCAGAATTAAAGACTAGGACAGAAGCCAATAAAAATTAGCTCTGAACATGTTGTTTCTCAGAACATTGTACTTATATTTATGTTCCTACTTCAAATAACTTTATATGACAAATTTTAAGGAGTAAGTAACATTTGTATAGCATTTACACTTTTCAAAGTAGTTTTCATTCACTGTTTTATTTTTTTTTAAAGATTTTATTTATTTATTTGACAGACAGAGATCACAAGTAGGCAGAGAGGCAGGAAGAGAGAGAGGGGAAGCAGGCTCCCCGCTGAGCAGAGAGCCTGATGCGGGGCTCGATCCCAGGACCCTGAGATCATGACCTGAGCTGAAGGCAGAGGCTTAACCCACTGAGCCACCCAGGTGCCCCACTGTTTTATTTTTTTTTTTAAAGATTTTATTTATTTATTTGTCAGAGGGAGAGCACAAGCAGGCAGTGGCAGGCAGAGGCAGAGAGAGAAGCAGGCTCCCCGCTGAGCAAGGAGCCCGATGTGGGACTTGATCCCAGGACCCTGGGATCACGACCCGAGCCAAAGGCAGTGACTTAACCGACTGAGCCACCCAGGCATCCCTCGTTCACTATTTTAGTTAATCTTCAAGGCAATCTGAAATAGTAGGTCATTTTCTTTTTTTCTAATAGATCATATTCTTATCTTCATTTTATAGATATTGAAACTGAGAGATTAAATAATTCAATTCCACATAATAAAAATTAAACTGGGGCTGCAATTCATCTTGTGACTCTAAGTTTTACTACATTATAATGCTTAATAAAATTGTTTTCCTGTTTTATAGTTAGGGAAACTGAGGTGTAGAGAGCTTACATTATTTGTCCGGTTTCAAGCTTAGGTTTAAAATAAAGATAATATATGGGGCACCTGGGTGGTTCAGTGGGTTAAGCCTTTGCCTTCGACTCAGGTCATGATGTCAGGGTCCTAGGATTGAGCCCCGCATCGGGCTCTCTGCTCAGCAGGGAGCCTGCTTCCTTACTCTCTCTCTCTGCCTGCCTCTCTGGCTACTTGTGATCTCTGTCTGTCAAATAAATAAACAAAATCTTTAAAAAAAAAATAGAGAATATGTAATTGTACTAAATGTGTGGAATAAAGTGTGATGTAAAAGAAAATTTAAAAATTGGGGTTCTTGGGCACCTGCGAGGCTCAGTTGGTTAAGCATCCAACTCTTGATTTTGGCTCAGGTCATGATCTCAGGGTCATGGGACTGAGCTCCCTGTCAGGCTCTGCACACATCATGGAGTCTGCTTGAGGTTCTCTGCCTCTCCCTCTGCCCCCCACCCCCGCTCATGTTCTCTTTAAATAAATAAATCTTAAAAAAAAAAGAAAAGAAAATTTGGGTTCTTAGTCCCATTTATCAGAAAGAGCTAGATGTGAGGCTACATGTATAGATATTGGGGGGCATAATAAGAGATTTACATAGGTATATTTGCAAGATGGTCCAGTAGACCTTTACAGTCTTAGGACCCATAGTTACTTACTAACCTGTAGTTATAGACCAAAGGAAGGAGTTAAAAAAGAAAATGATTTTTACAATCGTCTCTTTGCAGGGATGTTGGCAATGTGGTTGAAGCCATGTATGGGGACCTCCCTCCTCCAATTATGCTGATTGGACATAGTATGGGTGGTGCTATTGCAGTCCACACAACATCATCGAACCTGGTGCCAAGCCTCTTGGGTCTCTGTATGATTGATGTTGTGGAAGGTAAGTTTTCTTAGTACTGACTAAATCAGAATCTTTGATTTACGAGAGACATCCGTGATAGATTATTATTATCTTATTTTAATTTATTATTGATTTCTACTCATCTTGAACTATGTCCCTGTGTCTTTATATCTTTTTTTATGTTATTTTATAGCAGAGGCACTCTCAGATATATTTTTTAATTGGCATATAACCTTTTATTGGTTTTAGGTATATAACATAATGATTCAATGTCTGTATATATTGTGAAATGATAACCACAGTATGTGAAGATAACATACAAATTTTTTTCTTGTGATGAGCATTTTTAAGATCAACTCTCTTAACAGCCTTCAAATATACAATACAGGGGTACCTGGATGGCTCAGTCGGTAAACAGCTGACTCATGTTTTTGGCTCAGGTCATGATCTCAGGGTCATGAGATCGAGCTCCATGTAGGGCTCCATACTCGGTGCAGAGTCTGCTTAAGATTCTCTGCCTCTCGCTCTGCCCCTCCCACTGCTCGCATTCACGCATGCTGTCTCTCAAATAAATAAATAAATAAAATCTTAAAAAAAAACAACAGGTATACAATACAGTATTTTAAACTATGGTCACCATGCTGTACATTACATCCTCAAGACTTATTTATGTTATAACTGGAAATTTGTACCTTTTGACACTTTCCCCCATTTCACCCACACCCCACATTATATAATCATTTTCCATGTCATCAAAAACTCTTTGTAAATATCTTTTGTGGCTGCATAATTTTTTAATAGTATGTGTGTCCCATTATTTTATTTAACATTTAAAAAGAAGCTGCCATGTCTTTTATGACCCATCCTTAGAAGTCACACTATTGTTTATATAAGTCAGCCTCTATTCAGTGTGGGAAGACTACACAAGGGAGTGAATACCAAGAGGCAAAAATCACTGGAGGCCATCTTGGAAGCTGGCTTTCACATCAGTCTTCTGAATTTTCTTAAGCTATATCTTTTTTCCCCAAAACATCACTGAATTCTGCTATCATTAAGGGCAAATGTACACAGTTATCCCAGCAAGTGTAAATGCTTAGAATATGTTAGGTGCTATAGTTAAAATATTTGTTTAACATCTAGGTACAGCCATGGATGCACTTAATAGCATGCAGAATTTCTTACGTGGTCGACCTAAAACCTTCAAGTCTCTAGAGAATGCCATTGAATGGAGGTAACCAACAAATCTATATTGTCTGTATTCTAAATGTTAGATTGTAGCTGCTCTTTTTCATCAAGTCAGGCACCAAGTTCAAAGGAATAGTTCAGTTTCCAAGCCTTAGCTTTATTATGTGCAGAAACAGTTACATAAAGAGCATAATTTTTTTAAAAATATTTAAATGTTTCATACTTGGCCCAGTTATCTAAAATCCATCCTTTTTCTAATACACTATAGTGCCTCCTAGAATTTTAATAATTATGGATCATCTGCTGTCTAGCTATTTCCATCTCTGAGGTAAGAGTCTGGACTAAATGAGGCTCTAAGGCCTTTTCCACTTCTGATGCTTCATGGTACTAGATTCACTTTCTGTGTTCCAGAGAAAACAGTGGAGAAACAGAAAGGATGGACATAGATTCCTTTCTTAGTTTTTATTTGGGTTTGGGTTAAATAGTTTTCATAAAAATTATGGACAGAATTGGCTATGACTTCGACTTAAGGCTGTTCTGTTAATTTTTTCGTTAATTCAATCAATTATTTGATTAAATATTTATTAAACACTTTGTGCTAAACGGTGAAATTTCAGAAATGAGTAATATATTATCTCCCCCACAAGGAAATCAGTCTTAGGATATAATATCTTTAGTATCCTGTCTTCCTGAGTATTCTTTAAAATCATGTCTAGTTCCTTTTTTATACCCTTTTTCTAACTCTTCCACTCATTTGATTAAATAACTAGAGGCCTCTGTCTGTATTATATTGTACTGTTTACCTCTTTAGTCTTCTAATACTCCCCTAAAAGATATGCTTTTATTGCCAATTTTCATGTTTCTCTTAATGCTTTTCCTACATCATAAGGGCAGAAGCTATCCTCTATTTCTTTTGTATTTTCATATTGCATACAGCATACTGCTGACTGCCTTAGCAGGCAGAACGTATCTGTTCTTTGAATCAAGTGGAAATGAAGGACTTGGTAAATAAAGCCTAGGTAGTTTTTCTAAGACAGAGGATCTCATGCCAAATATGGCTTGCCAAAATGAAGTTTGTGTTTGGTAAGTTGCTTCTGTCTCCCCTTGTTCACACTACTGAGATGTAGGATTCCTTTTCTCTTAGAGACACCAAAGATCTCTCCCTCTTCAGCAGCCACAGTGTTTATATGTAGCCATTGCCAGTTCAGCATGTACCTCAGGCACCCTGCCTTCTTCCCCAGTAAAAACCAGTGAGAAGATGATTCCAAATAACTTTTCAGTAAACTTTTTCCTTTTTTTTTTTTTTAAGTACCTAAGATGTGTCATACCTGATTTAAGAACTGGTGATGAATCAGGCTTAGTACTTGTCATCAAAAAAACTGGGAATACAAACAAGTAAATGTGTAAACACAATGATTGAAGCGCAGAAGTTACAGAAGATAGGAACTTAATCCAGCTTGGCAGTCATGGTGGACCTGCTCCTAAAAGAGACAGAGTCTTGATTCTAGTGGCAGATGTGGGATAGGATGAAGGTTCTCTCTGTTGTATGTTTAAATGTTTTGGGTTCTCTGATTTTTAGAACCCACTTCTTGAGCCTGAGAATCAGAAAGAATACAATGAAGTATTTCATAACTTTGTTTTGTACTCTGCTGGATATCTGAATCAAGTTCATGACCCATGGATATTGTGGCTATTCCATATGGGGGCGGAAAAAAGATGTTGAAATACAAGGCCAACCTATTTAATTCAGTAAGGATTTAAAGCAAAGTGAATTCCCACTTCTGCTTTCTCTGGTCATCCTAATAAGAAGCAGTAGGTTAATTGTCATTAGAAGCCTAGGCTCTGAAGTTGGACATTTTGGTTTCCCAACTCTGGCTGCTCTGAGGAAAACACTGGGGGAAAGAGTAGGGAGTGGTATGTTAATGGAAGTGGGAAATTGGTTAAGAGACAATTGTAGTAGTATAGGGGAATAATGATGGTAAGCATAGACCAGGATGGCAACAGAGGAAGTAGTATGTCATATTTGGAATGTATTTTGAAGGTAGAACTGACAGGACTGCCTTGTGGGTTGGATATCAGCAGAGAAATGGGGGTTGGAGGCAGGAGGAGGCACAGCATCCAAGGATGAGTTCTAGGTTTTTAGCCAAAGCAATTGGGTGAATGGTAGAGACAAGGAAAAGTAGATTTGGGAGCAGGTAAAAGGTCAGGGAATCAGGATTTTTATATGGATAAGCTGAAATGCTTATTATACATGTAAATGGAAATGTTAAGTAAATACTTATATGTACTTGTTAATAGAGGTTGAGCTAGAGATAATTGGAGGACCATTATTTTTTTTTTTGGAGGACCATTATTATGTAGATAATATTTAAGAAAAATGATTCCTTTAAGGTAACTTTTTTTTATGACAACTTTTTTGAGAAGTTTTGTTATATAGGGGAGCAGAGAAGTGGGTTAGTATCTAGTAGTGAATGTGAAGTTGAGAATGTTTTCAAAAGCTATTTTATAATATTCACAAGAGAAAAAAAAAATAACCCACAGGGTAACTATAGGTAGCAAAGTCCTCACAGGCAAGAGGAGATGGGAACTGTGCCCAAGGTTGGCCTTGAATAAGAACAAAGGTGTTTCATATATTAAAAACTCATCAAGGCAGGGTATATGATTATAAATACTGGTATATTTGTAGATCTGTAGGTTCAGTTGATAGTAGAAAAATGAAATAATCATTCTGATTGCCTCTGTTTATCATTAAAATAAGAAACAAGGTCATTATCTAAGGTGGTTGCCCTTTACAATTTTGCATGATTTTTTAAACTAAAAAAGTTACATTTCAAGAAATGGGTTCTGGGGGCACTTAGGTGGCTCAGTCAGTTAAGCATCTGCCTTTAACTCAGGTCATGATCCCGGAGTCCCAGGATCAAGCCCCACATCGGTCTCCCTACTCAGCGGGGAGTCTGCTTCTCCCTCCCACCTTCCCCACTCTCATACTCTGTCACTCTCTCTCTCAAATAAATGGATTAAATCTTTAAAAAGAGAGAGAGAGAAGAAAAGAAAAGTGTTCTGGTGGCTTATTTCACATATTGTTTCCAATTCCCCCTGGGACATGCAGCTATTTTGCTTGGCCCTTAGGCATACATAGGTAGGTAACTCTGAGAGAACTAATCTATTAAAATAGCATCTTAGCTCCTGAACTCTGTATCATGACATGCAAGGTCCTCTAGGAGCTTGTCCCTACCCACCTATCCCTTTCTCCCACTCACACTCCCATTTTGCTCTTCCCTGCTTCTCCTTGCTCTCTGTCCTCTAAAATCCTCATCATGTTTACTTGTCCACATCACAGTGCCTTTGTTCGCAAGGTGCCCTCTGCCTATATTGCCCTGACCACCTTCTTTTATCTTCTGCCTAATTTCTTTTCTCCTTGGTTTAGGCAGGACATTTGGGGAACTTTATTTAACCTCTTCATTCAGAATAAAGTGATTCCTTTGAACCTTGCCTTTATTATATTAAAACTATCTGTATTTCTTTCTCCCTGCTTGAATTGGGTGTTTCTTAAGCACAGGCCTGACACATAGTACCCTCCTGGTAAATGTTTGCAGAACAGAAGTGGCTTGAATGTCTTTACTTAATTTTTTACTGGTTGGCTTATAGCCATAATAACCAGGTAGGAAGTAGTGGTAATCTCATATAAGCTGTATTGGTAAACACAACTTTATAGAGGTTCCACAGAATCTGCAAAATTATTCATTTGACCCTATAACATGATAAGATGGATACTGAGTAACCTTCTTTCTCCCTTCTCACTTTTCTAGTGTGAAGAGTGGTCAGATTCGAAATTTGGAGTCAGCCCGTGTCTCAATGGTTGGCCAAGTCAAACAGTAGGTCTTCTTTTTCCCTGTTGGGCTGGTTAGAGACTGAAACATGGTGAGGGAATTACAGATTGCTTTTTGTTATATACCTGTCCTACCATCCTGAATGCCTTTGCAGTCAAATGCTCTACCCTTGAGCTATACCCCCAATTCTAGATAATTTTTACAAATGAGCTCAATTGAGCTAGCCTCATAGCTTTTCTCTTCTATTTCTTTCTTTATTTTTTTTTTTTTTAAGAAATCCCAAAGCCTGTATGATACAGGATTACCTCTTTAATGCAACTCTGGGTCTTAAAAGATGAAGAATCCCAGAGAATGGACATTAAAAATTAAGTGTCCTCTCTAGTGTTGGAAGCTATGGCTTTATTCTGGTAACAGTCTCCTTCTTAGCCAAACCTGATTGTGAGGAAATCACACTATAAAAGCTTTAGTGTAGCCTGAGTGAAAGCCAGATTGTAAGGCTAAGCTAAGATTACTTTAGCCCTTGGGGCACCTGGGTGGCTCAGTGGGTTAAAAGCCTCTGCCTTCAGCTCAGGTCATGATCCCAGGGTCCTGGGATCGAGCCCCGCATAGGGCTCTCTGCCCAGCAGGGGGCCCGCTCCCCCCCCCCCCCCCCCCGCACCCTCCCCCTGCCTCTCTGCCTACTTGTGATCTCTATCTGTCAAATAAACAAAATCTTAAAAAAAAAAAAAAAAAAAAAAGACTACTTTAGCCCAGCTCATCTTCTTGGATAGGGTTACATGCGTCTTGAGTATTGCTATGTGGCTACAAAATAAACTTTAGATGAATTGAGAAAATGTTGCCCAGCAGAACAAGAGCATGAGAGTTCATGAAAATGATAATGGCATTACTGAATGCCTGCTATTTGTCAGGCATGGCACTATACCAGGTATTTTATACTGTATATATATTTTATACTGTACCAGGTATTTTATATACATGCTCTCATTTTAAAAATCTTATATTATGGAAATATTTAAACATGTAAAAGTAGAATAATACAATGAACCCCAATATACACATTGCCTGTGTTCAACAGTTACTGACTCATGGCCAGTCTTGTTTAATCTGTGCCCTTTTATTGTCCCCTAATTACAAAATATTTTGAAATAAATTCCAAGATTTGAGTATACCCTAAACGGTAAGGACACTTTAAACCCAATCACAATACCATTATTACACATAAAAAATTTAATAGTTCCTTAATATCATCAAGTGTCCATTCAGTATTCACATTTCTAATTGTCTCGCTGATCATTTTTTTGTAGGTCAAATCAGAATTACAATAAGGTAGATATATACTAATTGGAGGGAGAATATATCTCTTAAGTATCTTTTATAGTTTCTACTTTTGTCTCGATTTTTTTTCCCTTGCAATTTATTGTTGAAGAGCCCTGGTTTTTTGCCCTGTAGAATTTCCCACATCTGGATTTTCTGATTGATTCCTGAAGGTGTAATTTAATATGTTCCTCTCTTCACTGTATTGTCTATAAATTATTAGTTAGATTCAGAAATTTGGTCAAGTTCAGATTTGTTTGTTATTTTGGCTTTTTATTTGTTTGTAAGAATAGGTACTGCCATTAGGAAGCATGTAATTTATGGTTGTCTCTTTTCTGCAGCGTTGGTAGCCGTTAATGATCATTACGTAGATTCATTGATTCATTTGCACCATCTCATTTAATCTTTACATTACCTCTTTAAGACAAATATTATTTTGTAGGTGAGAAAATGGAAGTTCAGAAAGGTAAAGTGGCTTTCCCAGGATCACACAGCTAGTGAGTCACAGAGCTCAGATTCTGTCTCCTGTGTATTTGACTTCAAGGCCTGTGTCATGGACTTTAGGCCTGAAAGTACAATTCGAGTAGCAATACCTAGTAGACACAAAGCAGTCTTTAAATAAGCTGTGGAATTGCCCACTTTTTAATGCCTAAATATTTTGAAATTAGATTTGTTTAAGCAGTGGTAAAGCATTTTTGTGAGGAAGTTATAGGACTTATATTCAGGTAGTTCAGCGATTTTTAAATTTTACCTAATATGTAAATTTAAGTGGTGTCTTCTCTTAATATGTAAACTTGTGTATATAGTGTGTGTTTTAGTTGTCATATAGATACCAAATAGAACCTTCCTGCCCTTCTTGATCTCTTGAAGATCAAGAGATCTCAAAATCTCTTGAACCTCCTAATCCATAGCTGTGGAAATCCAAAGCACCTGTTTCTTTGTTGTATTACCTTAACCCTAGTTGTGAAACTTGACATCTCAAGTCCCATAGAACACCCCCACTTGACAAAACATTTTGTGAACATACACTTTCCTGAGATTGATGGAGGAGACAAGGAAGGAGAAGTTACCACTGTTAAAAATCCACCATTGAAGTTTCAGTGACCCTTCAATTTATCCCAGTCCCTTTTTATCCTGCTTGTTCTCTCTCCTCTCCTCCCTTCTCTCTCCCTTTCAAGGGAAAAATAACAAATTCTTCTTTATCATGGAGAACAGACCTTAGTACTGGCTACTACCTAGGCGCTTGGGATTTTTGTCTTTAATATTGTCAGTGTATTTTTTCCAACAAGTTCTTTGTAAAAGGAATTATGGTATCAGCTGTTCATATAATCCTGATTTTTCTACCTAATTATATAATAAAGAAAGATTGTTTTTTAGAGGAGAAACAATAATAGCAATTGGTTGGGTCAGATATTCTAAGCCCCAAGGTTCAGCTGGCGATGGTTATTTAATTGTCAGTTCCTATCAGCTAATTGAAAGGTGGGGCCTTTTACTATGCTTAAATAGCATAGCCTTGCTCTACTGTAAACAGGATACAGTAGAAAAGTACCATGCTTTCAAGTTAGTTCAGCTTGGATTTGCCTTTCAGCCCATCTACTAATGAGCCAGGGGATCTTGGACAATTTTTTTTATTTTTCAGGACTACTTCGTAGAATTGTTAAGAAATTATACGAGATAATGTCAATAAAACTCTGGTCACCATGCCACAGGAAATGATTACTCCCTTCTATAGATTAGTATTGGTGCAAGAATGGAAAACCAGCCCTTGGAATATAGTCATACCTTCCATGGCCATGACTTTCCACAGCCCTGATCTCTTTCCACACATTTTAAAATGCACATTGTTCACATCGAAGCATTAAGTTTTAACTGACATTTGATTGTAAAAGCCTATAAGAACCTGTATCTCTGAGATAATTTGTGTATAAAAGAAAGATGTATGATAGCACTTAAAAACAAACAAACCACCTAGGTGTGAAGGAATTACAAGTCCAGAAGGCTCAAAATCTATAGTGGAAGGAATCATAGAGGAAGAGGAAGAAGACGAAGAAGGAAGTGAGTCTGTAAACAAGAGGAAAAAGGAAGATGACATGGAGGTGAGTAAAAGCTGGCATTCTTGGAAGGTTGGGGCAGTGAAGGTTTAGAGCGTGTTGGGGTGGGAAAGGGGGGGGTGACATGTTCTTTTTGTTCACCCCTAGATATTTTAGGTGGTGAAGAAGTTATCGTAATAGCTATTTAGGTTAACAATAAGATATAAGGCACTTGTAGATAACTTTGACAAATTGGAACATAAAACTTATAGTATATACCCTACACTCAAAAAGACTGCTCTCTCATCAGATTCTTTCTCACCTTAATACTTCTGTTCCTATGGTTTATCTCATGAGAAAATCTGATTTCCCACTAGTCCATGCTAAGTCCATCAGATCTTACTCATCTTTCAAAGTGTATTTCTTTGGGGAAGTTTTCTGACCTCATTTTCTATCAGTCCTTCTCCAGTATAGCACTGAGGATCTGTATGACATAACTTAGCACTTTCTGGGTTGTTTATCTGTTTAAATAAGTTTAAGTAATCTGTATACCTGATGTGGGGCTCGAACTTATGACCCTGAGATCAGGAGTTGGGTGCTCTACCAACTGAGCCAGCCAGGGGCCCCGACATAACTTAGCACTTTCTGTTTTAAAGTTGTGGCTAAGGGTGCCTGGGTGGCTCAGTGGGTTAAGCCGCTGCCTTCAGCTCAGGTCATGATCTCGGGGTCCTGGGATCAAGCCCCACATCGGGTTCTCTGATCAGTGGGGAGCCTGCTTCCCTCTCTCTCTCTCTGCTTGCCTCTCTGCCTACTTGTGATCTCTGCCTGTCAAATAAATAAAAAATTTAATCTTTTTTTAAAAAATAAATAAAGTTGTGGCTAAGTCATAGAATTGTTTTTCATAAACCCCATTCAGAGATACTATGGTCTCCTGTAGTCATCCCTAGAATGCAGATTTAGTGTCCTCTAATTGTGCAAGTATTGTCTCCCAACAAAATAACCTCTGTATTTTGAGCACAGGAACTAATGTTCTATATGAATTCCCCTCAGCATTTAGCTTGGGTGTGTGTGTGTAGCAAGTGTTGTGTGACTACTTGTTGAACACTTGATTTGAGGATAGTAGTGGGAAAGGATTTTTTTCTTGAAATGGTTAGTGAGCCTGAGGAGCAGACTTTTGGGGATGGATTATAAACACCTTACTAATGGCAAATAATGGACTCAGTGTACACCCCGGAGTCCCTTATGTTTGGAGATGCTACTATTAGCAAGGAGGAGAGGACAATTGAGTCCTGAACAATATGGGGGGTAGGGTCACTGATCCCCAACACCGTCAAAAATCCAACTATAACTTTGGGGGTGCCTGGGTGGCTCAGTTAGGTAAACATCTGACTCTTGATTTCACCTCAGGTCACAATCTTAGGGTCATGAAATTGAGCCACTGGTGGGGCCCCACACTGGTCATGAGTCTGCCTAAAATGGTTTCTATCCTTCTCCATCTGCGCCTCTGTGCACACCCCCACCCCACACATGTGCTCTCTCTCTGTCAAGGAAAAAAACCAAACAACTATAACTTTTGGCTCCCTAAAAACATAATCACTAATAGCCTACTGTTGACCAGAAGCCTTGCCAATAATATAAATAGTGATTAATATATAATTTGTTTATTTATATTTATTAAATACTCTACTCTTATAATAAAGTAGCTAGACAAAAAGAAATGTTCTTGAGAAGATCATGAAGAGGAGAAAATAAATTTATAGTACTGTACTGTTTCCAAATCCACATATAAGTGGACCTGCACAGTCCAAACCTATATTGTTTAAGCATCTACTGTACATTTTTTAAAAACAGATTTTTTCATTTAATGATGATCTTTTGTCATCTTAAGATAAATAAATAATTGTTTGTACCTCTTTGGGATTTACAAAAATATAAACAGTGCATGATTATTTTGCCCTTCCTACACTCTGTGAGGTGAGATCTCTCCCATGATAACAGTGTAGAAACTGAGACACAGAAATACAGAGAAGAAGAGACGTTTCCAAAGTAATCAAGTAATTAATATTTAGTAGATCTGAGACTCTGATACAAACTGCTAATTACTTTTTGCCTTTTATGTGCTAGGAGCTATACTAAGTACATCACATTTATCATCCCTAGTTCTCATTTTAACTCTGCATTGTAGATATTATCACTGTTTTACAACTGAGGTACAGATTCTTGCCTATGGACACCTTATAAATGTTGGTGCTAAAACACATCCAGATCCTCTCTGGTTTTTAATTCCAGCTCATTTTTCCTTTGTAATTATTTTATAAGCCCAGTTATATGGAGTTTAGTAAACTCCAGCAGTTTTGTTAGGAGGGCAGACTGAAACACATGAGGCAATAAGGCATACAGCTAAAACAGTCTACCTTTGAGGAAGGACATAAACCCCAAACAACACAAACTACTTCTTGTAACTAGTAGATAAACAGATCCTGGAGATCTAATGCACAGCATAATAATTATAGGCAACAATACCATATTGTAAACTTCAAAGTTGCTTAGAGACTAGGTCTTAATTATTCTAGTACAAAAGAAACTATAATTCTGTGGTATGATAGAGGTGTTAGCGATCACTATGGTGTTGCATATCGCAGTATATAAATGTGTCAAGTTAACACATTGTACACCTTAAGCCAACACAATGTTATATGGTGATTATATCTCAGTAAAAAAAAATAACTAAAATGACAGAGAAAATATTAATAATGTAAATTAAACTTAACAACTACAACAACAAGAACAGTCACAGCTTCTAAAGCATGGTAGCCAGGGGCCATGTAGAGCCACTTAGCCCTTAGGGGATTTCTGTGTTTTAACTAATATTGCTTGTCCAAATATTTGTGTTTGAAATGATCCTGAGACATACACAAGAGTTCTGTTGCATCCATTTTGCTGTGTAAAAAAAGACAAGATACACATCGGCAGTGAGGGGCGATGTCTAATACAATATGATTAAAATACTTTTGAAAAGAAGAGGGAAACTTTAACCTTTGATCCTTGAGGGAATAAACTTCAGTTGTCCAGGAGGTATTCCTTTATGCATAAATATCCTTTTTAAAAACTGCTTTATTGGAAGGTAACTCATCCAAAGTATACAATTCACTGGTTGTTAGTAGATTCATAGACTTGTGTAAGCATCACAACAATCTTATTTTAGAACATATACATCAGGGGCTCCTGGGTGGCTCAGTCGGTTAAGTGGCTGCTTTCAGCTCAGGTCATCATCCCAGGGTCCTGGGATTGAGCCCTGCATCGAGCTCCCTGCTTGGTGGAGAGCCTGCTTCTCCCTCTCGCTCTGCCTGCCCCTCTGCCTACTTGTGCTCTCTCTCTCTCTGTCAAATAAATACATCTTAAAAAAAAAAAAAAAAAAGGACATTCACATCACTTTTTAAAAAAATGCCATACCTGTTTGCAGTCACTTCCCATTTCTCCCCAACTTCGGCCCTATGCATCCACTAATCTTTCCGTCTCTGTGGAATTGCCTAATCTGGACATTTAATATAACAGGGGCGCCTGGGTGGCTCAGTGGGTTAAAGCCTCTGCCTTCGGCTCAGGTCATGATCTCGGGGTCCTGGGATCGAGCCCCGCATCGGGCTCTCTGCTCAGTGGGGAGCCTGCTTCCATCTCTCTCTCTCTGCCTGCCTCTCAGCCTACTTGTGATCTCTGTCTGTCAAATAAATAAAATCTTTAAAATAAAAAATGAATATACGGTCCTGTGGCTGGTTTCTTTTACCTTAGCATAATGTTTTCAAGGTTCATCCTTATTATACCATGTATCAGTGCTTTATTCCTATTTGTGGTTGAATAATATTCCTTTGTATGGATAGACCACATTTTTTTATCCATTCATCAGTCACTGGACATTTGGATTGTTTTCACTTTTTGTCTGTTATGAATATTGCTTGTCCAAATATTTGTGTACAAGTTTCTGTGTGGGCATAGGTTTTTATTTTTCTTGGGTATGCACCTACCAGTGGATTGCTGGATGCTATTTCTGTGTTTAATCATTTAAGAAATAGCCAGACTATTTTCCAAAGTGCCTGTAACATTTTATATTCCCACTACCAGTGTCTTGAGTGTTCCATTTTTCTACAACTTTGTCAGCATTTGTAATATTGTCTGTCTTTTTGATTATAGCCATCCTAATGGGTATGAAGTGGTGTCTCATTGTGGTTTTGATTTACATTTTCCTGATGACTGTTAATGTTGAACATCTTTTCATGGGCTTCTTGCCTATTTCTTCTCTGGAGAAATATATATTCAGATCCTTTGCCCATTTTTCAAGAGGGCGTTTTGTCTTTTTATTTCTGAATTATAAGAATTCTTGTATATTCTAGATAACAAGTCCCTCATTGCAAATATTTTCTAGTTTTAACTCTTTAGGTTTCTAGTTTTAGTTTCTAGTTTTAGCTCTTATATTTAGGTCTATGATCCATTTTGAGTTAATTTTTGTGTATAGTACAAGGGTAGGAGATGTAACTTCATTCTTTTGCGTGTGGATGTCCAGCTGTCCCAAGACCATTTGTTGCTAAGACCCCACTTTCCATTTAATTATCTTGTATTCCTTTTTGGAAATCAAATGACCATAAATGCCAGAGTTTATCTCTGGACTTTCAATTCTGTTATGCCAAAATATGTCTATTGTTATGCAAGTGCCACTGTCTACATTATTGTAGCTTCGTAGCAAGTTTTGAAATCAGGAAATGTAAGTCCTCCAGCTTTGCTCTTCTTTTTCAAGAATATAGAAATCCTATATTCTTAAGATTTTGATTTTGGCAGGCAGCTGGGTGGCTCAGTCGTTAAGCATATGCCTTCGGCTCAGGTCATGATACCAAGGTCCTGGGATTGGGCCCCACATCGGGCTCCCTGCTCAGCTGGAAGCCTGCTTCTCCCTCTCCTACTCCTCTGCTTGTATTCCTCTCTTAATCTCTCTCTCTGTCAAATAAATAAAATCTTTTAAAAAAATTTTTTTATTTTGGTTTTTACTTTTATGTGCCAGACCATGTTCCTATTGTTTTACATATGTGAATATCTTTAGTTCATCCTTACAATAATCCTCTGAGATTTTATGTTGTGCTCCTTATAGCTAAGAAAACAGGCTTGAAGAAGTTAGGTAACTTTCCCAAGGGACCCACAGTTTATTAGCTGATGATGGAGCTGGGATTTGCATTAAATCTAGTCTGACTAACACAAAAACCTGTCTTTTTATTTTTTATCTTCTTTCATTTTCTTATTAACATATAATGTATGATTTGTTTCAGGGGTACAGGTCTGTGAATCATCAGTCTTACACAATTCACAGCACTCACCATAGCACAGACCCTCCCTAGTGTCCATCACCCAGCCACCCCATCTCTCCCACCCCCTCCACTCCAGCAATCCTCAGTTTGTTTCCTAAGACCGAGAGTTTCTTAAGGTTTGTCTCCCTCTCTGGATGAAACCTGTCTTTTTAAATGCTTTTCAAGTGAGGTGTTGGGAAATAGTGCAAAGCCTGTGGTTGATACCCTTGTGTGAACCATATCCTACCCCCATGAGCATCTCAGGATGATTGGTAGCTAGCTTTCTGCTTCTCCTATCCAACAGTTAGATCTCATTACATTGATCTGTTGTTGTTGTTGTTGTTTTTTAGTTTTCTTTTTTCAAGTTTTTATCTAAATTTCAGTTAATATACAGTGTAATATTAGTTCCAGGGGTAGAATTTAGTGAATTGTCACTTATATACAATACCCCATGCTCATCACAGGTGTCCTCCTTAATATCTTTCATCCATTTGACCCATCCCTCCAGCAACCCTGTTTGTTCTCTATAGTTAAGAGTGTTTTCTGGTTTGCCTCTCTTTTTTTCCCCCCATATTCATCTGTTTTGTTTCTTACATTGTTCTGTTTTATTACCATTTGTCAGAGGAAGGGATCTAAACTAAATTAACTTTATGATCCAGCTCTCCAAAGAAAGGATATAGTATTATCACCCTAAATACAGGAGCAACTCTAATTCTATCCAGGCTTTTTTTTTTTCTTTGTTTTTACATTTTTAAGACTTGAACTCCTCTTTTAAAATTTCTTTTTGTAATATTATTATCCTTGGAAGTTCCCTTACCTTAAATTAGTTATTTGCTTATGAAGTACAGTGTACATTTAGGAGGGTCTTGCTGTCTCTGACAGTGGAATCTACTAGAAGTGGCTTATTAATGGTGTTGCACATGCATTGTTTAGTGAGACTGGGAAGACCCAAGTTTCCTGAATATCCGTCTAGTGATCTTTTTCTTTCTTTCTTTTTTTAATTTTGGTAAAAAACACATAACAAAATTTACCACCTTACTCATTTTTAAGTGTACAGTTAAGTACCATTTGTATTGTGGTAAAACATCTCCAGAGCTTTTTCATTTCAATCTAAAACTCTGTACTCATTAAACAATTTCCCTTTCCTCCCATTCCTACCATTTTACTTTCTATGAATTCCACTACATTAGATACCTCATAGAAGTAGAATCAGTGTTTGTCTTTTTGTGACTGGTTTATTTTAGTTAACACAATGTCTCAAGTTTCCTCTCTGTTGTAGCATGCGACAGGATTTCCTTCTTTAAGGCTAAATAATATATATATAGCACATTTTGTTTATCCATTCATCCATCAATAGATACTGCTTACTTCTCTTGACTCTTGTGAATAATGCTGCTCATGAACATGGGTCTGCAAATATCTCCTCAAGACCCTGCTTTCACTTCTGGCTGTATACCCAGAAGTAAGATTGCTGGATCATATGATAGTTTTACTTTTAATTTTTGAGTAACTGCCATGCTGTCTTCATAGTGATTGTACCATTGTGTAATCCCACCAACAGCGCCCCAAGTGTTCCAATTTCTCCACATCTTTGCCATTGCTTGTTATTTTGTCTTTTTTGAAAATAGCCATCCTAATGGGTATAAAGTGATATCTCATTGTGGTTTTGATTTGCATTTCCCTAATGGTTAGTGTTGTTGAGTATCTTTTCATGTACTTATTGGCCATTTGAATATCCTCTTTGGAGAAATGTCTCCTCATGTCCATTGCCCATTTTTTAATCAGGTGGTTTGATTTTTTTGTTACTGAATAGTAGGAATTCTTTATATATTCTGAATATTAACCCCTTATCATAGATATAATTTGCAGATATTTTCTCCCATTCTGTACAATGTCTTGTCACTCTGTTGATTGTGTTCTTTGATGCACAGAAGTTTTTATGTTTGATGTAGTCCATTTATCTATTTTTGCTTTTGTTGCCTTTGCTTTTGGTCTCATAGCCAAAAAGTCATTGTCAAATTCAATGTCAGGAAAAGCTATATGATGCTTTTCTCTGTTTTCTTCTAGAAGTTTTACAGTTTTGGGTCTTAATATAATTCGATCTTTAACCCATTTGAGTTAAACTTGTGTATTGTCCAGTTTCATTCTTTGCATGTGGATATCCAGTTTTTCCAACACCATTTGCTGAAAAGACTGTTCTTTCTCCATTGAGTCATCTTGGACCCTTGTTGTTTATTTCTGGGTTCTCTCGTGTATTCCATTGGTCTCTCTGGGTCTTTATACTAGTACCATACTGTTTTGATTACTGTAGCTTTGTAATATGTTTTGAAATTAGAGAGCATGTGTCTTCCAATTTTATTCTTTTAAAAAATTGTTTTTGCTATTTGGTGTCCCTTGAGATTCTATGTGAATTTTTGATGAATTTATCTATTTTGCAAGAATGTCATTTGGATTTTGATAAGGATTGTTATGATAAGGATCTGTAGATCACTTGGGCTAGTATGAACATCCATCCAGTGATCTCTAACACAATATGTTGCTATCTCATGTTCACTTTCAGATTTTCATATTGTTGCTACTGCAGGATCCCAATTATTTATTTCAGTTATAATATTTAAAATTTTCAGTGATGCAGAAAACTATAGGGAATCATATATTTGTTCTTCTTGTATTTGATGAGTACATACTCTGTGCCTGTCTAGTATATATTGGGATTTAACAGATACATTTTATAATATTTGTGCCAGATTTCCTTTTTCAGATTACTGTTGCAGGAACATACCATTATCAAAACATAAGAAAAAAATGCTCTGCTAACAAATCAACATATTTTCAGTTTTCCCTTCCAGTTCTTTCCCTATGTGTACCACATTTTTCCAGTAGTAATCCTCATTTGGATGGCATGTTATACTCTTCTTTCTTTTAATATTATATCATAAGTATTTTTTTCATACTGTACTGTGCTTTTTGTAATTATCCTTTTGATGGATATATTCTTTTTGTCAAATGGATGTAAGAGAAACTAAGTCTTGACTGACTCTATGGTTTACTAGCTTTGTGATCTTAAAGTTTTCAAAGTTCACTGAAATTAATAGAAGTAAAAAGTAAACTTCTAGTTATCTAAACATGGAAATTACAACAATAACCTATATCACAAAGCTGTTTTAATGATTAAGTGAATATGAAAATGTCTGGGACCTAGTAGCACCTTAGTAAGTGCTAGTTTCCTTCCCTTTCCTTTTCCTAGGGACCTAGTTTTTGTCCTGTTCCTCCAAGGGTTGCCCTCAGAGACTCAGAACTTGCTCTTTTCCTCCAGACCAAGAAAGACCATCCATATACTTGGAGAATTGAACTGGCAAAAACAGAAAAATACTGGGATGGCTGGTTCCGAGGCTTATCCAATCTCTTCCTTAGTTGTCCTATTCCTAAATTGCTGCTCTTGGCTGGTAAGTGTTGCACGTGTGTGTATTAGCTCAGGCTGCCATAACAAAATATTATAAATTGGGTGCTTAAACAACAAATTCATTTTCTCACGGTTCTGGAGGCTGGAAGTCTGAGAGCGGGGTATCGGCACAGTCAAGTTCTGGTGGGAGCTTTCTTACTGGCTTGCAGACAACTGCCCTCTCACTGTGTTCTTACATGGCAGAAGAGAGAGTGAAAGCAAACTCTCTGGTGTTTATTCTTAAAAGAACACTAATCCTGTCATATGAAGACCCTACACATATGCTACCATTTAATCTTAATTATTTCCATATCTGCAAATGTGGTCACACTGTGGAATAGGCCTTCAACATATGAATGACGGGGAGGATACAATTCAGTCCATAGCAGTGTAGGTATATCATCTTCTGAGTAGGTCCTTGTTAAAACTACTCACCACATGGGGCGCCTGGGTGGCTCAGTCAGTTAAGCGTCTGCCTTCAGCTCCAATCATGATATTGGGGAATCCTGGGATTAAACACCATAGGGAGTCTGCTTCTTCCTCTGCCTCTGCCCGTCCCCCTCCCCTATGGTCACTTGCTCACTCTCTCTCAAATAAATAAATAAAATCTGAAAACAAACAAACAAACAAAAAAACCCGAAAAACCAAACTACTCATTCATGGGTAGTAGCTTCCAAAATAAAGTACCATGCTCACTCATTTGTATTCCTCTCCTCTCCACACCAAATCCCTAAGCCTAACTAAGCACAAGCATCCATCTGGAGTAACTTAATTCTGGCCTGCCATCAATCCCTGGTTAAGTGCAAGTTCTCCAGAGTGGCGTAAAGATATTCTGAGTATAATGGAAATTTAAAAACGTAAAACCCTATTTTCAGAAATCAGTTTAAATGATCAAAAAGATTGCAGGGGACTCTCATTCTGGAAAGTTTCATGTGGTGAGTATATACCCTCAAGGAGTTAGGATTGGGATTAATGTGAATTGAGAATGTCATCGTGTTTACAACTTTGTAACATTTTTTACTTCATACTTGAACAGCAAAACCTATTTCATACAACCTTTTCTAGTAAACTACTTCTGGATTCTCCTATTTTATTCTAGGTGTTGATAGATTGGATAAGGATCTGACTATTGGCCAAATGCAAGGTAAGTAATCAAGAAATTATGTCCAGGGATGCCTGGGTGGCTCAGTCAATTAAGCATCCCACTTGTGATTTCAGTTCAGTTCGTGATCTCAGGGTCGTGAGGTTCAGCTCTGTGTTGGGCTCCATGCTTAGTGGGGAATCAGCTTGGACTTCTCTGTCTCTCACTCTGCTCTTCCTCCCACTCACGCTTATGTGTGCACATGCGCACTCTCTCTGTCTCTCAAGTAAGTAAATAAATCTTAAAAAAAAAAGAAAAGAAATTACGTTCCTAGGTCCTTCTCTGAGGACAGAGTCATGTGGAAATTAATGTTCTGAGATGGTGAAGTGCAGTGGAAAGAGCATGAGCTTTAGAGTTAACCCCATACTTGATAGCATCAATATCCAGTCCTGACCCAAATATTTCCATTTTCTGAGCTTCAGTTTTTTTCCTCCATCTAAAAATGGGATTTAACTCCCATCTACATCTCAGGGTTGTAAGGACTAAAATGAGGCAATGTCTTGGCAGAGTTCATTATAAACCATAAAGTACCCTATAAATATATAATTATTGTGAAGGAGATATTCTGAATACTGATCAGTATTTTTATCATTGTTGGAATTCTTAGGAAAGGGAAATGTCCAGGATGATTGGGATGCAAAAAGATGTAAACTATATTTAGAAGACAGCTTGGTGAGGTGGCAAAAGCAAAGACTCTGGGGTTGGGAGTAGTACTTCTTTCCTACTTATTTTATGACCCCAGGCAAGTTATTTGACCTGCCTTAGCTTTCGTTTTCTCAGTCTATAAAATGAGAAAGTTGATGGCAACTTCACAGGGATCATGAATTATAATGAGTAGAAAAGTAACATATTGTGCACAGGTCCAGGTGTGTTGTCCGGATGGAAGTGGAGGCTGTGGGACCAATTTTGTGGAGGCTCTTGCTTTAGTATGGATGAAAGGTGTGGTAAAGGTGAAATCAATAGGCATTGGTATCTTTTAGGTTATGGGAAGAAGAAGTGCTAACTCCAAGTCAAGGTTTCAGGCTTAAGCAGATTCTGTTCTTGACCTCCCTTTTTTTCCCCTGCTTACTCTCTCTGGGCAATCTCATGGCTTTTATTTACACCCTTATAATTCCCAAAGCTAAATGTCCAACTCATACGTCTCTCCTGAGCTCCAGACCTGGCCCATATGTAAAATCTACTGGACATCTCTACTTGGATGTTTATGGTCTCAAACTGTTCTTTGAGCTGTCCTCAGGCTCCCCACAGAAAAGAGGGGGGGGTGCTATACTTCTAAACAACAGTTGTTTAAAGGCTCCTGAATGATTTATTACATTCTGGACCCAGGCACTCCTACCCTATTCCTTCAACTACATAGTATCTGAAGCCTGGAGGAAGATTATGAACTGGGGCAGTGTGAGTTTTATGGCACTTATGTTGGTAATTCTGAGTTTAGACATCTATCGTTACATTCAACTCAAGCAAACCTTTCCTAAGCAGTTTTTCTATATAAGACCTATGCTTGATGCTAGACAGGCAGAATAGATATGGCCCCTGAGACTATCTGAAAGCAGTTGAGCTGGACTGGAATAGCATTTGAAACCATTTTTGGTCACCAGCCTTGGAATCAAACAGTCCTGGCTTTGAGTCACTGTTACTAGAATTGTGGCCTGAGTGAACTTCTTTAATCCTGAGTTTCTTCATCTGTAAAATAGAAATAATGCTATATCTGAATACATTTGTATGGTGTTTAAATGCAAAAATACATGTGAAGTAAGAGTCTGACAAATGGGGGTGCCTGGGTGGCTCAGTGGGTTAAAGCCTCTGCCTTCGGCTCAGGTCATGATCCCAGGGTCCTGGGATCAAGCCCCACATTGGGCTCTCTGCTCGGCAGGGAGCCTGCTTAGCTTCCTCTCTCTCTCTGCCTGCCTCTCTGTCTACTTGCAACCTCTGTCTATCAAATAAATAAATAAAATCTTTAAAAAAAAAAAAAGTTAAAAAAAAAAAAGAGTCTGACAAATGATGGCTTCATTATATCCAGGAAGTACTCATGATTCCTCATTAGATGCCCTGCCATTTCCCCAGTAAGGATTATGCCAAGACTACCTTTTCTTCCAGAGCATCCCATGAATATAGAAAGTAAATGGCTGGAGTGAGGGACATCCCATAAGACAAAGGGAAATGGCCAAATTGGCATAGATTCCAAACCACAGTCTTTCCAGCACTGTTTAAACCTGCTGAATTAGTTAATGGATTCCTAGAAACCTAGCACTCATTCATGATGCAACCTGGGTAAATAATGTAGGCTGTCTGAACCTAATGTTCTGTAAGATGAGAGGGAAGGGTTTGGAAATATGCCCACTTCCTAGAATAATTGTGAGGATTACCCATAATCGTTATTTTATGTGTACAAGGCACGTTATTAGTGTTAGTGTGTGTGCATTCTCTCTGATTCTTTATATCCACTCTTCCAAAGAGAAACAAAAAATTCATCCCTAGACATCAAGCCCAGGGTGGTTGGAATTGTGTTATCAGGTCATTCATTCAATTATCCATTTAAGACTTACTAACACTTAGTCAGTGTCTAGTCCTGTGCTGGGCCCTGTTGATATTAGGCTCTATTCTTACAGAAGTGTCATGCTCCTGGGGAGGCAAGCACCAGTGGCATAAAATACAAGCTTACAAAACAAGCAGGGCACAAGCTGCTCTGTGTTTCAATCCAAACATGTTAGCTGTAGTACATTAAGAGATAAAAGAGAGGGCACCTGTGTGGTTCAGTTGGTTAAGCCACTGCCTTTGGCTCAGGTCATGATCCTGGAGTCCTGGGATCAAGTCCCGCATCAGGTTCCCAACTCTGCGGAGAGTCTGCTTCTCCCTCTGACCTCCCCTCTCATGCTCTCTCTCACTCTCTCACTCAAATAAATAAATAAAATCTTTTAAAAAAGAGAGAGAGGGAGCAGAGCGGGGACTAGGATGGAATAGGCTGGAGTCCCCAGGGCACACTACTGCAAGAGGAAGGGCATGAGCTGGGCCTCACTGAATAGAATAGTCGTAGTTCCTCTACTAATTAAATAAGCAGGGGGACGCCTGGGTGGCTCAGTGGTTTAAGCCGCTGCTTTCAGCTCAGGTCATGATCCCAGGGTCCTGGGATCGAGTCCCACAATGGACTCCTTGCTCGGCAGGGAGCCCGCTTCTCTCTACCTCTACCTGCCACTCTGCCTGCTTGTGTGCTAGCTCACACTCTCTCTCTCTCTCTCTCTCTCTGAGACAAATAAAATCTTTTTTTTTTTAAGATTTTATTTATTTATTTGACAGACAGAGATCACAAGTAGGCAGAGAGGCAGGCAGAGAGAGAGGGGAGAGCAAGCTCCCTGCTGAGCAAAGAGCCTGATGTGGGACTCGATCCCAGGACCCTGGGATCAAATAAATAAAATCCTTAAAAAAATAAATAAATAAGCAGCCTTGGGCAAATTACTTCACTAATCATGATATTAATTTCATCATCTCAGAAAAGAAATTCAGTATTTATCCTGTTCAATTTTATGGGGTAGATTTGAGAATCAACTTAAAAAATGGATAGAAGAATATTTTGAGAAGATTTTAAAGCACTGTGTAACTGGATTAGGAGTCCTGGAATGTGATGACCCAAAGGACTTCCAGAGCATTCTGCCTTGTTTTGTAAATGAGCCTCTCGGGCTCTGAGAGTCTGCTCTCTACTTAGGGGAAGCTGTGGGTCCCATTTCCTTTAGTCTGCTGCTTAGAGATCTTGCTTTATCTGTCATCTCTGTTTACTCTCAATAGCTATCACATTAATGGTGAGCCTACAGTGTTCTACAAGGCAGTGGGAGAAAGTGGTTAGTACTGTCTGGCATTTGGTTGAGCGTTTAAATGGTAACTTATTATTGTAATAATACATTTCAAAATCCTTAACATAGCTTACAAAACCCTTGATGGTCCCTGCTTTCCTCTCCAGCCTCATTGTTAACTCTCAAGAGTTCTGTGCCAGACTTTTTATTTCCAGGAACAAAAACCATTTCATCCTCCTTTCCTTTGTGTAGACTTTTTTTTTTTTTCCCCCTGTGTGGGAAGCTTTCCTGTATCTTTATTTGATTGTGAAGCCTTCTTTCCTATGTTATTCCAGTTCCATGTGCTCAGTTTTATCATAAGAACTACATGCTACATTAAAATGTTGTCTTTTGGGTTGTCTGGATGGCTCGGTTTTTAAGTGTCTGCCTTCAGCTCAGGTCAAGATGCCAGGGTCCTGGGATCGAGCCCTGCATCAGGCTCCCTGCTTGGTGGGAAGGCTGCTTCTCCCTCTCCCACTCCCCTGCTTGTGTTCCCTCGCTTGCTATGTCTCTCTGTCAAATAAATAAATAAAATCTTTTAAAATAAATAATAAAATAATAAAATAAAATAATAAATAATAAAAATAAGAAATAAAAAATAAAAAATCTTTTAAAAAATAAATAAAAATAATAAAAATAATAAATAAAATGTTGTCTTTTGTGTTCCCCTACTAGACTATAAATCCCCTGAAAAGGGGAACCTTCCTGTGTCTGGCCCAAAGTAAATGCATGCTAAATAGTTGCCAAAGTTAAAAATGAAGGGAAAATCATTTGCACAAGGTTGTAACTGCAAATATTACCATCCACCTCAAACCTTGGTAACAGGGTCCAGACTATTAAGGAGGGGAGTAGATAGGAAGGTACTGGACTCCTGAAGTGGCCTATGAGACCACAGAGGTGGTAAGGAGAGGGCCGTTTTAGTCCCTGAGGTCACCTAGATTTGTTTTCTTTCCAGGAAAGTTCCAGATGCAGGTCCTACCCCAATGTGGCCATGCTGTCCATGAGGATGCCCCAGACAAGGTGAGTCTGGTGCTCTGTGACTATAAAGGGACAGCTGTGAGAGTCATCTTTTGTCTCACAGAAAATAGTACAAGCCTCTGAGTCAGGCTGAGTTGCCTGCAGCAGCTACTGTGGCACCTATTCAGCTATAACTCCACGATCTCCCCAGACCTCTTCCTGGCAGCTGCTAGGGTCTTGGGTTTCTTTGTATGGACTGAGGAACCACTGGCATCCCGTAGTTTCACCCCAGGGTGCTCTGGTTAAGATCTTAAGCTCTACCTCTCTCCTTAGCCCAAAAGCCATGTGGAAGAAGGAAAAATTGGGATAGAAACTGCTCCTGGAACGACAGTCACAATTGGAAGTTAATATGCACTCCTATAGAATAAGATGCTTTGTAAGTGTCAGGGGATAAATAAGCCTTCACAGCATTCCTCTTGACTTCTCTGGAGCTGTATTTGGCAAGGATGGTGGGGAGAAGTCTTCTAGCCCTGCCAGGACTCAGGTCCTTTAGGTTTCAGGCTTCTCGGACTTATAAGATCCATGAGTCCACTATAGAGCCTAACCTTCCAGTAGAAGCCCACAGGACCTCCAAAGCTGATCCCCATTGCTAACATCATATAGCCTGGAATCTCTCTCCCTTTTCCAGGTAGCCGAAGCTGTTGCCACTTTCCTGATCCGGCACAGGTTTGCAGAGCCCATCGGTGGATTCCAATGGTAAGGAAGTAACAGAGATTTAAGGAGCCCAGCAGTGCTGACCAACTCCAACAAAAAGATATTTGCAGCATTGTAAATATCTCTCCCTTACCCCTGCCTGGTTTGGGTCACCATGCCTTTCTTCTTCCTCCTCAACACAGAGCCCAGCACATGTGTTTCTATAAACCCATGGTTGGTTGTTTCTGTGTACTTTGGTCCAGTGGGTTGTTGCTGAGATGAGATTAAATTGTGCCTAGTCCCCACTCCACCCCACTTCTTAAGTCCTCCCACTTCTTGAGGTACCTCCTTCTCTGAAGAGGCTAGGATGGGACTCAGTCTTTTTCCAGACTCTTAGGGTTCTGTTTGCCTTCTCCTCCTCTGCTGCCGAGGAAGGCTGGGCAGGCCATGGAGACTGTGTAGAGATCCAGAGCAGGGTTTTCAACCTCAGCACTCTTGACATTTGGGGACCTGTCCTGTGTATTGTAGGATGTTTGACAGCGTCCCTAGCCTCTATGCACTAGAAACCGGTAGCACTCCCACATACACACACACAAGTTGTGACAAGAATATCTTTAGATGTTACCAAATGCTTCAAGGGAGACAAAATCACTCACAGTTGAGAAACACTAGTGTGAAGGAAAAATACCTCTCATCCTAGGAAGCTCTTCTGAGTAGGGAGACACAGTTAGACTCTTTGTTGAGGAGGAGGAAGAGAGACAAGATTACCCAAACCACACCGTCCTGGCCCCATCTTAGGGAGCTTCTGGTCTGTGCCACAGTATGCCTGACCCCCAGAGAGCCCACGAGTCTACTGAGTTATAAACCTGCTAGGTGGAAAGTCTCCTGTCTGATTTTGGTGAGAGTCCAGGGGAAATGGTTCCCTACCTCAGGAATTCAAAGAAGAAATGTTGGAGAAAAGAAATTGTTCCTGCGTTAGAGGGACTCAATGCCAGGACCTGGGAGGTGAGGGTCACAGGGCAGAATAGGCATTGGCAATGATGACAGAAGCCTGGTACAGTGAGCCACACAAGTGATTCCCTCATGCCAAACCACCCTGCAAGAAACTAATCGTTGACGGACCCCAGAAATCAAAAAGAAAGACTGAAGTTTTTCTTGTTAGTAGTGTTTGAAGCCCCTGGACCATTTGGTCACATCACCAGTTCACAGAGAGCAGATCCCGTGTCTAGACCTGGATGGGGCTGTGGAGAGGTTGGACAGATCTGCAAGGGCCTTGGTGGTCATGAGGGTCCTGGGCTTCCTGGAGGAGAAGGGGCGAGGAGGGGAAACTAGTAATGGTCACATTTGTTTTCCTCTCTCTTCCCACTCTTCACAGTGTGTTTCCTGGCTGTTAGTAACCTGCTGTCCGTCCCTCCCCAACATTGAGCTCTGTTGTAAATACATCGCACCAGAGGCCACTGTGATGCCGCTGTCTCCTCCTCACCATCCTGCCCGACCATGTGACACCGGCTCCCTATCGACGGGCTTCCCCAGATGTACAAACCCTTTTGTGTATTCCTGCCGAAAGCATTGTTATCCAGGGCCTTTGACCAACCTCGACCTCCTTAGTCCAAGGCTCCCCAACTCCCACCCCTTCCCTGTTCAGGGGTAGCCCCTACCTATTCTCCCTGCCTTGCCTAGGGTGAAGCCTCCATCAGAACTGTCACCCTGGGCCCTTATTCCTGGTATTAGGCAGTGTACCTGGGTCCAAATGTCTCTCCAGGCTCAGGGACCTCCATTCCTTGAGATTGTTCTTGGCGTGGTCCTGCCCTACCTCATGGGATGGACCATGCACAGGGTGGTCCTTATTTTCCCCTTTCAAATAAAATGCCAGTCAGGTACCTTTTTACCCAGTCTTACTCTTCCAGGCTTGGAAGACCCAGAGAGGCCAGGATGCCATCCTTAGGAATAGGGAGGGGTGGTGGATAGCATCACAAGAAACCAGCCTGAAAATCAGGTCCAGTCAGTCCAAGCACATGGCCTCCCATCTGGGGAGAGCCCACTGTCCCTCTCCCACATGTCTGGGCACCTGCCCTGGGCTGAGGCCAGGCTGCTCCAGGGGCCTCTTGAGCCCTCACCTGCCACAGAGCAACCCAGGTTTAATACAGCCCTTGCACAAAGCCGTAGGCTAAAGCCTGTGGAGTTGTTTTTAAGAATCAAATTTAACCATTTTCATAATTGGTCCCTGGAGGTGTGCAGAGTGCCCACTTGCCTCTTCTAGACCCACAGCTTATCTTCACCATTTGTGGTTTCCATGTCATTCTTCAGAGAAACAGTACAGCCCAGCATCCTCAATCTATGCCCTCTTCCAGCTGCCTCATCACAGCCATGCGGCCTCCCCCTGCTGCCCAGGCACGCCATTTCCAAGGGCAGGAAGGGGCAGTCTCCTGCAGCCCATCTTTTCTGTGACTGTCTTAGGTGATGCGTAGCCCCTCCACCTTTCCACCCAACAACTTCCTATCCCTGTCCTGCTGCACGGTCCAGAGTCTGGGACCTACTTTGTTTCTTTGTTATTTATGACCTTGTTTAAAGAGAATAAATATCTCCCAAACTTTATTGATCTTGTCTTTCTCCATGGAGTTGTCCTTATTTTTCCTGATCTGGGAACAGGGGACAGTTTCTTGGATTTAGTCACCATAGGTCTCCAGAAAGCCCTTTCCCGAGCCCATCAGCATCTTGGGCTCTGCCTGCTCCTCACATCCAGAATGGTCAGCGGAATGGGCAGAGCCAGCCTCCGCTGCAGCCAGGGAGACCTGGATTCCCATCCCATTCTTCCAGTGATATGCTCTGTCGACTTTGGCCCAGAACAGGACAGTCTATGCACTGTTTATGTGAGGTCCGACACTCGGCTTCACATCTGCCAACACCCCAACTTTGCCCACAATCCAGATCATGTCCTGAGCTCTAGATGCTTAAGTCCATCTGCCTCCTATCTCTCCCGGATGACCAAAAGCCACTCATATTGACCATGCCCAAAACTAAACTCACCTTCTCCTTAAAACTCGTTTTTCCTCCCGAGTTTCCTTGCTCAGCAGGTGGTTAGGTACCATCTCTCTATTGTCCAAACCAGACAGGCTGAGCTCTCTAGATGGCGCCCTCTCTCACACCTGTATCCAGCTTACCACCAAACCTCTACCATGCTCTTTTTTACGTCCTGTTTCTCATCCCACAGCCCCTGCCATAGCTTAGGAAGCTTAGGCCTCATCTGTCAGCTAGATCACTCAGTACCCCTGCTGGTTTCCTGCCCTAGCCCCTCCCTCAGTCATGCTCTACACATTGTTGAAGTCTTCTTCCTTTTAGGCTGTGAAGCCAGGCTGCCTAAATGGAACCCAAGGCTCACCCCTTACAGGCTGTATGAGATAGCTGTGTACTTTCTCTTTGTGCTGCAGTTTCCTATGAAAAATGATCAAAAGTTCCTCCCTCACCCCGTCTTGAGGACTATGTAAGTTAATAGAGGCTAACTGGCTTTCTCAGTAACCAGCATAGGATAAAGCACTTAATAAATAGTTCATGTCATGTCACTGCTGTATTGTACTTAAGACCTTTACTCAGAGTGGTCTGCAGACCAGTAGCATCAGTATCATCTGGAAGCTTGTTGAAGATTTTGTCTCCACCCCAGACCTACTGAGTCAGAACTGGTCTGCATTCTGACAAGCACATAAATTCTGAGTTCTGGTTTAGATGTTCCCTAAGTATTTCAGGGTAAAGCGTGAGCTCCCTAGCAGAGAAGGGAAGTGCCTCTTGTGTGATGTGATTTCTCCCACCAAGCTCTTGGGGTGGGGGCTGTGGGGGACGGAGGGGCGGTGGTCCCTTTACTGGGCTGTGTGCTCTCTGTCCACAGGGGGGCAGCATAATCACACGCATGGTTTTCAGAAACTCCTCCCACTTCTTTTCACCATGCCAGTCATAGTAGTTATCAAATTTTGAGTGCCATGTAATTTACTTTATACTCATCTCATTTAATCCTCACAGCATCTCTGTGAGGTAAGTGATGTTATGTTCCTTCTACAAGTAGGCAGGCAGGTCCAAATTCATACAGCCCAGAAGTGGTGGTGTCAGAATTAAAAACTAGGTGTTTCCTCTCCATACTGCCTCCTGGACAATAGAGGGGACCCTGAGCAGAGGTCATTTTGGTCTAGATACTTAAAATAGCAAGATGACCAGGGACTTGAGGCTTCTTCAGACTTGATGGATGCAGACTGAGAATGAGTATGTTGAGTTTTGGGTTAGGTTCTGTGCTAGTCATTTACCTCCTTTATCTTTGTATCTTTGAGAAGAATAGGCATTATTCTCCCAACTTTAAAGGTAAGGAAACTGAAGCTCAGAGATGTGAAATGAAAAGCCCACAGCCATGGTGAGGAAGTGGCAGCACCTTTGTCTACTGAGTGTTCCATTGTACCCCAGCAGGTGAAGCAGGAGAGCTAGGTTCTTGTCTCAGCGAGTCACAGAATGATTCTGCGGACAAAGAAGAGCGAGTAATGCAATAGAGCTTTTATTAAGCAAGGGTGCAGGAAAGCAGCTCTCCAGAGTGAGAGAGCTTCTAACAGGATTGCCACTGAGGGCTTTTAGAGTTGGGTCTTTTATTGAAGGCTAACGCTGGAACTTAAATCCTTTTAACATTTCTATTGATAGCACCATTGAGTAAGGACTAGTGATAACATTTTAATGGCTTGCTTTCTTTTTCAGTGTGCAATAATTCTTTGTTGGTCATAAGTAGCTGTTATAACAAAACCCCCACCTCTGACACCTAGGGCAGGGTGGTCTTGTTGTTCCCTTATCTCTAGTTTCCCTACACTTAGGTATTTTTGTTATTTTTGTAAGCATGATCCCACAGCCCCTACCTGTTTCTCCCTACCTAGCCCTGCCTGCCCCTTTTCAAAGAGCATATCTTCAGTGAGCACCTACTGTGTGCCATCCATCATGATCATCCTTGCGAAGCCTACAGATCAGCACTGTAAACTCAGCAAGGGAATAGAGGAGATCCCAGACCCTTTGAATGAGGGATTCGCTATAGAGCCAGAAGGAGTATGTTTGGGTTAAACCAAAGGCCATTCTGTCACACATGAGCACTAAAGAATGTCCAAGGAGAAGGTCCTGAAAAAAGAAAGTGGGCTAATTTGGGGATAGCCATAGATCTGTTGGTGGGGGGAGAATCTCAAGATTGAGAGTACTCAAAGGCATGAAAGGAGCTGTGTATGAATGACTTCTTGGTCTTACCTTCTTCTAAATCTGCTTTTAGAGCATTTATTTGCTGGTTAAGCAAACCTGAGCACCTATTCTGTACTAGTCTGGACTTTGGAGATAGAGATAAATAATGAGGCCCTTCAAATGGGCTTGTAGTCTAGACAGACTGTTATAGAAACGGTGACCACTTTGTGTTAAGAGGAAGGGGACAACTAAACCTCTTTGAAAACAAGTTGGGGAAGGCTGCATAAAAGAGGTATCATTTGAAATGAGCTTTCAAGCATCATCATAAGCTGGAGGTATAGAAGGAAGGGAAAGAAAATACATTGCAGGTAGAGGAGACAGCATACATAAGTTCAGCATACTCGAAGGTCAGTCTGAGAACTGGTAGATTAGTGTGATGAGTGTGGCTGGAGTAGAGGCTGACAGGAGAGTCCGCAGGAGGCAGGACATGAAGGCCTTGAGTGGCAAGAATGAGGAGTTATCAGGGGTACCTGGGTTCCTCAGTAGGTTAAGCATCTGCATTTGGCTCAGGTCATGATCCCAGGTACCTGGGATGGAGCCCAGCCTGAGGCTTCCTGCTCAGTGGGGTGTCTGGTAGACTCTCTGCTCAGTGGGATGTCTGCTTCTCCCTCTGTCCCTCCCCCCTGCTCATGTGTGTGCATATGTGTATGTAAGCGCTCGCTCTCTCTCTCTCTCTCTCTCTCAAATAAAATCTTAAAAAAAAAAAAAAAAAAGAATGGGTTGTTGTCAGAAGTTAAGGAACTCCAGTATCCTGTGTAGATGGATTGGTAGGCACCAGACTCCAGGCAGGAAGACAGTAAAGAGGCAGTGGAGCAGTCAAGTAAAAGGCAGAGGTATACTTAACTAGGACAGTGGCTGCAGGGATGAGAGAAGAGGAAAGGCTCATTATCTTGGAGGTGAAATGAACAAGACAGAAACTCATTTGGACAGTGAGATGCCAAGGACTCTTCAGTTGAATTCAGGGGTATGTCATCAGAACTGGAGGTAGGGAGTTAAAAGTTCAGGACTTGAACAAGGGAACAGCAGGGAGAGAACCTACAACAGGAGTAGAGAAAGCAAAAGACAGTCACACTCTCCTCTGCAGGAATGGAGTTTTTGAGCCAATTCTGCTTCAGCTGGCTGCCCCACTAGTGGCCAGAATCAACACATTCTCAGCCTGGGTACAGGGCTCAGAAAGTTATGTAAACTCAAGAGGCTCCCTCATTCCCAGAGCTGGTTTCCTCTCCCAGCAGTTTGCTAGAAAACTCTAGCCTGTAGCCAGGCGAAACCTTGGAAACCGAGACTAGCCAAATGGCTGGCCTCTTCCACGTGGGGGAAGTAACTGCTGCCCTCCGGCCCCATAAGGTGACAGGCAGATGAACAAGAAGATAATGGTCATTACTTTATGCACCATCTGAAAAGTGGCAAACATTAAAAAACACAGAGATAGTAGTTATCTATGGGGCTCAATCTGAGCCATGCCCTCAAACCCTTAGAACTTCATTCCTTTGAAATTATTGATTTCATCAGGGGTGACCCACTTATGCAAATATGCCCCTGGCAGGGACAGAGGGACCCTCTGCTATTCAGACCTAAGAGGGAATAGGCCAATCAAGCACTTTCTGGAAATGATCAAGTGACCAAGGGAAGGGATAGAAGTGGTGAATGAGGCAGCTCTCTTTCCAAAAGGGGAGAAAACTGTGGAGATCCCAAGGTGAGGAAGAAAGAAAAGTCCAGAG